TAAAACTGATTTATTTGGGCTTAGACCCCATTGGGAGTTGGGCATCTGAGTGCTAAAGACAAGCACACTATTCAGGTAAACTAGCAGCTTTGGGACAAGTGATTCAGACCCTGGGTCTGTGTCTGGAGCCAGACGGGAGTGTCTGGCTCAGCAAGACAGGGTGCTGGAGTCCTGAGCTGGCAGGGAAAACAGGAGCAGGGGTAGTCTTTGCACATCGGGTGGCAGCTCCCAAGGGGGTTTCTGTGATCCAACCCGTCACAGTGTCAGATTAGCTTCCTCAGAAATTAGCAGAATATAACATCTCAAAAGAATATTTGACCCATTTTGTAACAACAGTTTAATGCATAAGGATATATTCTGCCCTTTCCAGCAAATTGCAGAACAATTCCCATGTATCAGAGGGGTAGCCGTGTTAGTCTGAATCTGTAAAAAGCAACAGAGGGTCCTGTGGCACCTTTGAGACTAACAGAAGTTAGTCTCAATTCCTCAATTCCCATGTAGTGTACAAAATTATATTTTATAGAAATGACGTATTATGAAATTACTGTAATCATCCATAGAAATTTTTTTTACCTAGCATGAAGTATCTGCACTTGAAATAAGGTACCAAAGATGCCTGGGAAAGTGCATTTGTTGTAATATTAAATTAATATTCTATTAAAACAAAACAAAACTTCCCTTCCAGAATGTTAAGTGAGTTGCCTCAGTTAAACGAAACAGACTCATGCTCATTTTTGCATACAATTTTTTTTGCATTTCTTAATTTGTCTTAGAAAATATATGTTTTTCCTCTCTTTCGTAATCCTTAAATGTAGATGATGTAGGGCCTGATTTTCCTCCCAATTACATCTATTTTAACTCTATGTCTTAATTGTAGTTTTACACGTGTAAAGGGAGATTCAAGCCAAGAATGCCTAGGATGGGAAATAGACTAAACAGTGGCCAAGAATCTCTCTATGAAGAGAATAAAAATGTCTGAGAATTCCTGCCCATTGAGAGTTAACCAGGGACAAATATAGAGCAAAACAAGTTTTCTTTGTGATTGTGTTGAGATGACTCTTATAAACAGAGTATGTGCATTTTATTGTTAGCATTGAGGGGCATTTCCTTTTCTTCCTTGAATTTCAGGTTACAATGCCAAAAAAACCTGACTCAGACCTGTAATTCATAGTTAAAAGCCATGAGTAATAGAGTGAGAATTTTTTTGGCCATAATTCAAGTAGAAATATCATGACTCGCTGGTTTTATCTCCAACTGATAGGAAAGAACTGTAGAGGGTTTTTTTTCTTTTTAAATTAAAAGAAAAATTAGTCAAATAGAATGTATATTAATGTATACATGCCATAGAACCTGACTTGCAAATTTCAAGCATGCTCTCCACTCTGTGGTATACTCCCACCAGGCTTTGAGGTTGAATTTGTTAATAGTTCTGTAATAGATCTTATAGTAGTTTCATGGGTCTTCCCACTAAGTGGCATTACAGTTCAATAGATGGGAATCAGGTTTGTTTCTGTGATGACAAATCACCTTGTTAGGAAGCCCTTCAGAAAAAATCATAGTACTGGTGTCTACTGACACTTTGACAAGCAGTTGTGTAGAGCCCTTCAAAGTAGTCACTGAGATATCACAAGTTGTACCTGAGCTACATTGTCCTCTGAGCTACAATGCCCTTTGAACACTGTTTACTCTTGTATTGCAATGGGGGAAAGACATTTTAACTGTGTGCATTGAAGAATAAGTTGCTGCATACATTCACGATTTTTTCCCTGCATTTCTTTGTTCCTGCTTGTATTGATATAATTTTCTTTTGTTTCATGTATGTAGTTGAAACATTTTTACATCCTTTTTCATTTTTAGCAAAACCAGCTAATTTGAAGCAAAATAGATAATTCATATTACTTACAGTTTTCTATATTTCAATAAAATTGATGATCTTTGCTCAGCAAATTCACAGGACTAGACTAGCAGGGCTGTCACAGCTCAAGGTTGAGTTGAAACAGAAGAAAGGTGAGGAAGTTCATTGCTACTGGCCAGACAGTACCAGACTAATCTCTGTCTTTCAGGAGTATTAAAAACACCAAGGGCAAAATTTTCAAAAGAACTCAATTACCAGCATCTCCCATTCAGTTACTCATTCAGATTTTCAAGATTCAACACCCATTGTTCTCAATCTATACTCAGTATTTTTAAAAACCTGACTACCTTTTTTTAGATGCTTAAATTGTAGGTTTAGTTTTTTGAAATTCTGTCCCCATTTACTGGTCTTGAGAGTTTGAAACTCTGGCCCTGACATTCTTAGAAAAAAATAAATGAATAAAGCACTAACTTTATGTTTGTCTATTTTCTTTTCTTTTTTTCCCCAGCAGAATCCTCTATTGTTACTTTTATCACCTACCCCATTAATGCTTCAGGCAAGAAATTAATATTTCTCATATCTAGATCTATTTAGCTTAAGTTTTACTTTTTATTTTGTCATTTTTATAATTTTTTATATTCTGGTATTTTTCAGCTACAAGTTCAGATATAAGCACTGCAGGTGAGAATTATATGTATTACACAAGTAAAAACTGTAGAATTAAGGCCAAATTCAGATGTGGTGTAAGCAGACAAAACTCCACTGTGTTCAATAGGTTTGTGCTTGTTTAAACCAGGGCTAAATTTGGCCAACTTTGAAAAAAAGGTTCATTATACTGGCTGTTTAGCCACCCCACAGTTAATGTTGCATTGGCTGAGTTTTAAAAAAAAACTGTTAAATTGATATTTCACAGTTATCCAAAATATACTCCTTTCCCTTTCAGCCAGAACTTTAAGTGTGGTGCCAAAGCCAAACCATACAGGTACATGCTTCTTTTTATGGTGGTTTTTTTTGTTCATTTGTATGTTAGAAAATATTTAGGGATATTGGTTCTGTTTGAAAAGTGAATTCAGTGAGCTTGCTAAAACTACTTAAAATATTTTTGAATTATTATTAAATATCCAACACATTCATTATTCACATTTGTATTGTGTCCACTACTGTGGTATATGGGCACACATTTCATGGTTTAAATTGTGTCAGTAATGTTCCAGACAAGAGGGGCATAATTTACCCACTCTCCTGATCTCTGAACTTAGAGACAGATGAGCTAATTCTCCTTTTACTTGCAAAAGTTTGATTCTGAAGTAACTCAATCATCTTTTATAAGAAGTTATTATGGATTAATGCTAGTGCAAACAGGAGGAGAGTCTGAAATAAAAATGGGAAAGAGACCTGGCAGCTCATTTAAGTGACCAGTATTATATAGGCTTGTTATCAGAAATTCTTATATTTAAATAATTTATTTTTTCTACAGAAACTACTATCCCTGAATTTAACTTCTCCACAACAGTAGGTAAGGCTTTATATATATATAAGCATGGTTTATGAGCTGTGGGAGTCTATGTTCTAATATTTTGAATATTATTTTTTTACTATTGTATTTCGCATTAGCAATCAGTCTTACTGTGGGTTGAGTTCATATGATTTCATTGTGTATATACATGAGAACTGAGATTGTAAACCTACAGGGTCCTGTCATAAAACATTCAGTAATGGAAATAAATGGATGTAATGTTACAGTTTTGTCTGAATTTCCCAACTTGTGTTTGATTAAAATTTTCACCTCAACATTGGTTTTCTCTGTTCCTGCTTCTATGGATACATTTTTTTCTGTTTCATGTATATAGCTGAAGCAATTATATGCATCCTTTTGTCAATTATTAGCAAACATGGTTGTATGTAGGCACAATGGACAATTATATGACCATGTTACACATAATTTACCACAATTCAGAACAATTGGTAATCTTTGCAAGAGAGTCACAGGACTAGACTGGCAGGGCTGTCACAGCTTCAGTAGAAGAATGGTGGGGAAGTTCATAGCTACTGGGCAGGCTGCACCAGACTAATCTGCTATACATGGGGCAAATATCCAAGGGCAAAATTTTCCAAAAAAAGCTCAGTTACCAGCAATCCCCATTCAAGCACTTATTCAGATTTTCAAAAGTATCCAGTACCTCTTGTTCTCAGTGGGTTCTAAGTATTTTTGAAAATCTGGCCACTTCCTTCAGATGCCTAAACTGGAGTCTTAACTTTTTGAAATTCTGTCCCCAGTTGTGGGCATAGTGAGCTTAAAATCTGGCCCCATTTTCGTACAAATAAAAATTTGAGGACTAATGTTATGCTTCTCTATTTTTATTTATTTATTTATTTTGCTGCAGAATCCTCTATCGTTACTTTTATCACCTACCCCATTAATGCTTCAGGCAAGATTTTCTTAACATTTCTCATATTTTGATGTATTTAGCTTATGTCTTACCTTTTTATTGTGTACATTTTTACTTTTTTTCTATTTTTGTTCTATTACTCAGATACAACTTCACTAGAAAGAACAAGTGCTGAAGGTGAGAATTATTTTACACAAGTACAAAGCTTAGAATGAGAGCCAAATTCAGATCTGGTGTAAGAGACAAAACTCTCTTGTATTCAGTAGGGTTGTACTTGTTTAAACTAGTGTTAAATTTGGCCAATGATCATTATTTTCACAACCTTAAAAATGGTTATCATATTGGCTGGTTAGCCACCCCCTTTCATTAAGTTTGCATTGATAGAGTTTTAAAAATATGAAATTCATATGATACTGTTAATCAAAAGAAACTCCTTTCCTTTTTAGATGGAACTTTAAGTGTATGGCCAGAGCCAAACCAGACAGGTAATGCTTATCTTTACATAGTATTTTTCTCCATTTTTGTGTATTAGAAAATATGCAGGAATGCTGGTTCTGTGTTGAACAGTGAATTCAGTAAGATTGCTGTGACCAGGGTCACAGGGGGGCCATGGTGAGATTGCTCAATTAGAGCAAACTGCAAAGAATGGGGCAGACAATCCCCAAAACTGGTGGTTATTCTGATACTTAGATTTACCAAGCGAGCAACAAAACAGCTTCTACAATACCTTACTGGTTACCCAGAAGCCAAAATCACAGTTCCCTTAAAGTAAACCAGCCTTGGGTTTCCACCCAGACCACCAAGTCACATATGATGAGGATTACTGAAAATCTTGTTCATCGTATGAAAAAGTTCTACCAATCCCAAAGGATCAGACACATTACTCATCAAGTTAATGAATATCTCAGATTTTACCCAAATACATGCTTACAGCCAATTCTTATGAACTAAACTAAGATTTATTCAAAGAAAAGAGAGAGAGAGAGTATTGGTTAAAAGATCATTATACATACAGAAATGCATAGAGTCCTTAGGTCAGTTTCATAGTAGAGATGGTGAGCTTCAGAGTTACAAAGATTCCTTTCCAGAATCAGTTTATAAGGATATAGTCCAATGTCCATTTCCAATATCAGGGTGATTCAGAATGCACTGGAGACCACAGTCTTGCGACTCAAACTTCCCCTGACGAAGCTTAAGCAAATCTGAGGTGAAAGGATCAGGTCCCAAAAGCCCTTTATATATTTTCCGGACAGCATGCATTCCTTGGGTAAAGAATATTTGCTTTGAAGTAGAATTACCTATTTCCTATGTATACACAGGTAACTAGTCGCATTCATCAGCATAAGGTAATTATCCATTAAGCAGTTCATAGACAGTTTACTACAAGCTTCAAAGAGAAGTATAGACAATGAAATTATTACACCCAGGTTCCATCTAAATGTTAATATTCCCTTTTTATCTGTGCATCAATAGATATAGAAACAGACAGGAACCATCTGTTTACATGGTTAACATCTAACAAGATATAAGTAAATACATACGATTAGTACTACCTCTAATTCTCTAACAATACAGGTTTGCGTTTCAAAGCTCTAGTCTATTTAACATAGCTATGTTAGTTATTTATAAGGAATAGCCCTAATTACCATTTATATACTTCTCTAATATGTCTTTAAAGATTGAATTTGGGCCATTTAGCCTGCAAGTTACTTAACCCTTTCTGGCCCTGTGTCATAATTGCTAAAACTACTCAAAATATTTTTGAAACAATTTTAAATATCCACCTCCTTCATTGCACACATTTATATGGTGTCCATCATGGTGGAATATGAGAATATGTTTCATGGTTTAAATTGGGTCGATTGTATGCTAAACAGGAGGGACATAATTAACTCACTCTCCTGATCTCTGAATTTAGAGACAGAGGCCTAATTCTCCTTTCACTTGCAAAAGTTTTATTCTGAAGCAATTCACTCATCTTTTAAAAGAAATTATTACTGATTCATGCAAGTGCAAAGAAGAGGAGAGTGTGAACTAGAAATCAGAAAGTGACTTGGCAGCTCATTTATATAACCAGTATTTCACGGGCTTTTTATTAGAAATTCTTATATTTATTTATTTTTTCTGCAGAAACTTCTAATATCCCTGAATTTAACTTCTCCACAACAGCAGGTAAGGCTTTTTATCCTTGTTAAACTCTATTCTGAGTGGCAGAAAAGGATGATTTATGAGCTTTGAGAGTCTATGATCAAGTATTTTGAATATGACTTTTTTATTATGGTATTTCATATGAGCAATCAGGCTTGTTTTGTGTTCATATGATTTCATTGTATATACATTAGAGTTGAGATTTTAATCCTACAGGGCCCATCACAAAGCATTCAGTAAATGAAAGGGATAAATTTAACATTGCTATGTGAACCCTATCTTTGAATTTCCTAACTTCTGTTTGATTAAAATGTTCCCATTAATGTACTGTAGTTTTAGCAGCTCCTATCTGCTGCACAGATAATCCACAGGCTCCTAAATATCTGAAAGCCTCCAATCCAGCTGTTGACAAGGCCCAGCTTGACTCAGTTTATGATATCTGTCAAGATCACACAGTTTGTTTTGATTGGCTGCTGTTATCCAGTGAAGCCTTTAGGACAGGGATCGGCAATGTTTGGCACGAGCCCCCTGGTGGGCCGGGCCGGTTTATTTACCTGCTGCATCCGCAGGTTCGGCCGATCGTGGCTCCCACTGGCCGAGGTTCGCCGCTCCAGGCCAATGGGGGCTGCGGAAAGTGGTGCGGGCCAAGGGATATGCTGGCTGCCCTTCCCACAGCCCCCATTGGCCTGGAGCGGTGAACCGCGGCCAATGGGAGCCGTGATCGGCTGAACCTGCAGACGCGGCAGGTAAACAAACCAGCCCGGCCCGCCAGGGTGCTTACCCTGGCAGGCCGCGTGCCAAATGTTGCTGATGCCTGCTTTAGGATAAGGTAATGGGAGCATGAATTGAGGCCATGATTCAATAAAGGGATACCTATCTGCTGTATCTATGTGTGAAAGGGGTAGTATCAATATGATGGGTTATGCATCTCTAATACGGTGTGCAGATCAGACCTGCAGTGGCAGCACACAAACAGTATTTCTGGTGGTTGGGGCATCAGAGTGTGGAGGGGCAAGGCTGTAGGATATGCGAGGTCAGGAACCCTGTTTCTTGAAAAAAAAACAAAATGTTTTAAAATTGGTTGAAGATGACATCCTTGATTTAAAAACAGTTCGTTTTTTTTCAAGAAACTGACTCTTCAAACATAGTGTTAACTGGCTAAATCAAATGTACAAGGTAAAACTGAGTTCAAAACAAGTTTGGAAATTAATATCTTCTAACCTATGTATGAATCCAATGGATTGGGTTAGCCTGAGTGGGCTAGGCATTGGCTTTAAACTATTCAGTCAGACACAATTTGAATCGCAGTGTGAACATAGAAAAAAAGAAAATCACGATGATGGCCAGCAGTTTTTGCAGGGTTGAGGCATAAAAACATGTAGATAGTCCCTAAACTTGCTCTATGGCATTTATTGTATCCTTACTATTTAATATTTCCATTGTGGTAGCACATACAGACGCTAAACAAGATCAGGGCCATATTGTGCTAAGGCACAACCTTTTCTCAACCTAGTCTCAACCTTTTCAGACTACTGTAACCCTTCAGGAGTCTGATTTGTCTTGTGTATCCCCAAGTTTCACCTCACTTAAAAACTACTTGCCTACAAAATAAGACATAAAAATACAGAAGTGTCACAAGCACACTATTACTGAAAAACTGCTTACTTTCTCATTTTGTCTATATGAAATTAAGTTTGTACTGACTTCGCTAGTGCTTTTTATGTAGTCTGTTGTAAAACTAGGCAAATATCTAGATGAATTGATGTACACCCTGGAAGACCTCTGCGTACCCACAGGAGTATGCGTACTCCTGGTTGAGAACACTAAGGCACTGTATCAACACAGAGAAAGAGACAAGTCCATTCTTGTCAGCTTTGTGCTACTATCTAAATGATCTAAACTGAGTCTTTCTAATATATTGCTTTTAATATAGTGTTAACTATATTAATAAATTCAGTTACCTTTATTTCTTTTAGGGAAATTATCTGCAAATATAACCTTCAATGTAACTGACAGTGTTACTCTACCAACTACTGCCATTACGAATGGTAAGGGGCAAACTTATTTTAATTTAAACAGTGAGCTGAATGTATTAGTATTTTTGTAATACTATATAAAGAAGTGAGTTTATAAAATAATTAGAGCTTTAAATAATGTTTAAAAAGTGCCCCACAGGACTGGCATAGAACCTTTTACTTTTGTACAATAGGGTTCAAAACTGGATCATCCAGCAATCTAAAGTCACTGCCTTCTGATGGCTGTCCATTTACTAAAGTAAAAAAAAAGTGCATTAGATATATTAGCCCTTTTTATTGTGTAGCACAAAAAACATAAATCATGCTTCATATTTGGCATGAGATGATAAACTCAGCAGAGAAATAAGGAATTGATTGGCAATGAAGACTGAACTACAGTCTCACTCCAAGAAGGGTGCCTACACAACAGGATTCAGGAGGGTTGGCTAAGTGGGGTGTGGAAGTTTGCAGTGCTATTGGCTGAGCTGATTATTGTTTGATGGACAAATAAAATAGAAGTATGTTTCAATGCTACTGTATTGGATTTATGCAACAGAGCTGCAGGTGTACTGCCACCTTTATTTCTGATCATTACTTTTTTTTGTAGGTATAAGTTGTAAAAATGGTAAGTATATGACTTACTGTATATACAAACATAGAATCATAGAATATTAGGGTTGGGAGGGACCTCAGGAGGTCATCTAGTCCAACCCCCTGCTCAAAGCAGGGCTAATCCCCAACTAAATCATCCCAACCAGGGCTTCATCAAGCCTGACCTTAAAAACCTCTAAGGATGGAGATTCCACCACCTCCCTAGGTAACCCATTCCAGTGCTTCACCACCCTCCTAGTGAAAAAGCAACTTGAGACCATTACTCCTTGTTCTGTCATCTGGTACCACTGAGAACAGTCTAGATCCATCCTCTTTGGAACCCCCTTTTAGGTAGTTGAAAGCAGCTATCAAATCCCCCCTCATTCTTCTCTTCTGCAGACTAAATAATCCCAGTTCCCTCAGTCGCTCCTCATAAATCATGTGCTCCAGCCCCCTAATCATTTTTGTTGCCCTCCGCTGGACTCTTTCCAATTTTTCCACATCCTTCTTGTAGTGTGGGTCCCAAAACTGGACATAGTACTGCAGATGAGGCATCACCAATGCTGCATAGAGGGGAATGATCACGTCCCTCGATCTGCAGGCAATGCTCCGACTTATACAGCCCAAAATGCCGTTAGCCTTCTTGGCAACAAGGGCACACTATTGACTCACATCCAGCTTCTCGTCCACTGTAACCCCTAGGTCCTTTTCTGCAGAACTGCTGCCTAGGCAATCGGTCCCTAGTCTGTAGCAGTGCATGGGATTCTTCCATCCTAAGTGCAGGACTCTGCACTTGTCCTTGTTGAACCTCATCAGATTTCTTTTGGCCCAATCCTCTAATTTGTCTAGATCCCTCTGTATACTATCCCTAGCCTGAAGCGTATCTAGCACTCCTCCCAGTTTAGTGTCATCTGCAAACTTGCTGAGCGTGTAATCCACACCATCCTCCAGATCATTAATGAAGATATTGAACAAAACCGGCCCCAGGACCGACCCTTAGGGCACTCCGCTTGATACCGGCTGCCAACTAGACATGGAGCCATTGATCACTATCCATTGAGCCCGATGATATAGCCAGCTTTCTATCCACCTTATAGTTCATTCATCCAGCCCATACTTCTTTAACTTGCTGGCAAGAATACTGTGGGAGACTGTATTAAAAGCTTTGCTAAAGTCAAATAATAACACATCCACTGCTTCCCCCTCATCCACAGAGCCAGTTATCTCATCATATTTTACCATGTGAAAGAAAAAAAATTCATATCACAATAGGATAAAATAATGGGCCGGACCAAATAGAATAGTTTTTGAATCTCATATGTTCGTGAAATAAATCGCCAGAGGAAGACCATCAGAAACATATGATAGTTTTTATAGTGGTTGAGCATGGTAGTATGTTAAGAGCCTGTTCATAATATGCTGATTTATATTACATGGTAGTGCATAGTATATTAACCTTATTAGCTTAACCATGCATGTTTGTTTAATTTAATATTTAACAACAAAACTGTCCAGATAAATGGCCCTTTTCTTCACTCTTTGCACCTGGAAAGTTGTAATATGGATTATAGAAATGAACGTCTTATTTCATTGTTTAGAGAAGTAGCTACTCTACCTGACTTTGGATAATATCTGTCTGTCTATCTAATATGATACTAAATTAACTTCCCATTCTAGGTATAGGGAAATAGTTGCACATTGTCTCAGATATTAGTTTGTGGAAAATATAATTGCTGCTTTGTTTTCTTTTTTTAAATGGTGAACACTAAAATATGTTTTTATTATATATAGAGAGAGTATGTTTATGTATATGTGTGCAGATATACTATGTAGTTATGCTGGGGGAAGAGTTACAGAACAATTTAGGTAGATATACATTACATCTGGATACTGGGACTTAGACTGGTGACAGGTGCCTTACAAACACCAATAAAGCATAGATAGAATGTAAAATATTTTGCAAACCTGAAGACATTTAAGTTTACATAAACATTCATCATTTAAAAACATAATATTTAAATACATATGTTGAACAAGATTACATTTGAATTGAACTGGATTAATATTGTTTTGCAGAAACAAAACTAACTGGTAACAACTTATATAATTTATCAGCCATCTGTAATAATTCAGGTTAGTGGGTTTTTTTTCTTAAATGTATCATCTCCAAATATTTATCTCTTCTGAGTAGCAAGGCATACATGCAGAACTTTTATAAAATCTCTAAAATATCCTAGGTTTGAGATTCTTATATCCTGGTTGCCAACCAAGGGGAAAAAATGTAACTTTATCTTACCAAATCATGTGCAATATTAAAAATAATATTTAAGAAAATATTTTCTGAGTTTGTATTTCAGAAGTTTCATACTGAAGGAAAATATTAAATTTATAATTTCTCTCATCCACATGTAAATATAAAGTTTATATACTACTAGTACCTATCATTATCAAGCTTAGGAAATGTAAAGAATTCATTTAAAATTGTATTATAATAATATCATTAATGTTATTTTAAACAGACAGTAAAATAGTGTTATATTTAAAAATAAGGATAAAAAGGAAACAATAGAAAGCATATGTAAGTATTGAGGGAGCACTGTAATAGGTTCTAAGTTAGATGTATTACACAAGACAATACGATATGAAAATTAAAACTAAGGAAACTAAAATTGACAGACTCATAATTAAGAGAGCTAAGAGGGATTTTGAAAAGCCAAGACATAAAAACAAATGAGAGATTTGTTAGGTATATTGGCAACAGAAAACCTCTTGGTGGGTCCACTGGACTATAGGGAAGTAAAAATAGAAATTAAAGAGGGTGAGGACTTTGCAGAGAAACTAAATGACGTGTGTATCATTTCTGATTCAAAGAAATCATTTAGCTTCACTGCAAAGAACATACAGTCTGCTGTGACTTTTTTCAAAGGTTGTGAAGTCAAAAAGGAAAGATGCTATGAAAACCTGATCAATTAAAGGACAAGGACCAGTTGGTGTACATCCAAGAGCTCTGAATGAAATATCTGAGCGACTATTAGAAGTATAGGAGTACTTGTGGCACCTTAGAGACTAACACGGCTGCTACTCTGAAACCTATTAGAAGTATAAAATCTCTCATTAAAATTAGCTACTCCAAGCAAAGTTAACAAATGTACTCATTTTTTAAAAAGGATCTAAGGGTCATCTTGGAATTGCAGACCAATAGGCTTTACTTCAGTACCAGGAACAGAGGGTGAAAGATTGATTAGAAAAATACTTATAGAACACTTAGATGAAAGTGGACAAACAAGCATGGTACTTCTCTAATCTACTTTGAGTGTGTCAACAAAAGAATGGATAAAGGAGTATTTGTTGACACATATTTGGACTTTCAAAAATCAAAAGGTTTTGTTAAGGAAATTATGTAGACATGCAGTGAGAGGGAAAGTACCATCATGGATTAGAAGGAAACAGAAAACATAGCTGTTCTCCTGGTACAGAGCTGCCCTAAAGATGACATAGAAAGCTGTATATGGTGAACCTAAAAGCTGCTCTAATTTACATTGACACTGGACCAGTCCCAGACTTCCCTATTCCCTTCAGTGACACCTCCTGACTGGTCACAAGTGGGGAATTCTATAGGAGTCACTACATCATCAGTATGCCACCGGAAGATTCCCCCTATACTAGCCTGAAACATATAGAGCAGATTAAAATTGGGGAAGCAGTATAAAGCTGTCCTTATGCAGATCAAGGTCTGGGTCACTGTGTGTGCAATCTAGTTTTTCTATCTTGAAAATGATATAGGAGAAATAGAAGGTGTTCAGAGATGGGCAGCAAAAATTATTAGAGACCTAGAGAAACTAAAGATAATGGGAATATTTAGTTTTAGAGAGGAAATGAATAAGCATGGCAAAAGAATACAGAATAATGAATGGTACAGAGAAGGTAGATTGAATACTCTTATTTATCTTCTCACATAATACAAAACAAGTGAAATGTATAGTTCTCAAAATGGTTCTAAATCAAGCAATTAACCATGAACATTATTATTAACTTTGTTTGTCTTTTTGTATTTAGTTTTCTACATGGGCTATATAAAATTTCAATACAGTGAAAAAAGCAATAATACTTCAGTAAGTGTTGAAATAGTAAGTCCTAAGAATTTTTTATCCATTATCCATTCTATCCATTTAAATTATTCTTATCCTAATATGATTTTTAAAATGTTTTGTAAATTGTTAATTCTTATATCACAATTTGCTTCACGATCGCTAATGGTTCCTTTGGTACCATATCAGTGTACTAGATGCCCAATGTCCATTTCAGCAAAATGTCCACTATGTGCAGTAAACATAGAAATATCAGTTGTTTGTGTGATGCTTCACGGGGGTACCCAGGGCTGTGATGCACCTTGCCATGACCTGCCCTGAGTGTGAGGAAGTCTTGTCTGTGCCAGCTCCCTTTCTCCACTGACCATGGACAGCATAAGCGCTCCCCATGAGGCTTCACAGACTCCGCTGTTAATTTACAGGTTAGTAAATGGTAAACTGCAGCTCTCGAGTGTCTCCCTGAAGTGTGCAGCCCTGGTCCACTGCTTCCAAAGAAACAGTACACCCCAGCTTACCAGTTCCACTTCAGATCACCACTACACTTAGTACAGAGCGGTTAGATAAGTTTGTAGGGAAATCAAGTATTAGTTTATTTAACGAAGCATAGTGATTCAAGTAATAGCAAGTAGATGTGTTGGAAACAAATAGTTACATATAAAATAAAATAAAACACATTCCAGACTAACCGAGTATTGCTCACCCAAAGTCCTTTAGTGGTTTAGAGCCAGGCTTGGATGACCCTCCTTACACGAGACAAGCATGCTGTCAGCTTGCCTTCTCGGTGAAAGATTCAGTGTGGTTTTTTGAGATATATCAGTCCTATCATTCATCTTTATTCATAAACAGGACACCCTGTTGTTTATTTATTCCTGTAGATTTCCTCTTGTAGATTTCACAGTCTCTTCTTTTGCCTGTAACTCAGTATGCAAATAGACCTACACTGGGAGGCGTACAATAGACAAATGGCCAGATAGAGCCATAGGTGTCTGTTACCTCCTGCCTGAAAGGAGAATTTCTCGGGTATGTCACTTCCTGGTGAGAGGGGCAGTGGGTATCATTGGCCAGGGAAGGCTAAGCCTTCCCTGGCCCAGGCTGTGGCACTGCCCATGCTCCCCCCAAAGCCAGCAGAGCTCAGCTCCAGCCGCGGCCTGGAGCTCAGGCTCGGCCAGCAGCGAGGGGCTGGGGCAACCAGGGTCGAGCCCACCAGTGTGACCAGCGGGAGTTGGACCAGCCAGGGTAGCCCAGGGCAGCTCAGGTATCAGGCCAGCCAGCAGGGGTCGGGCCAGCTGGGGCAGCTCGGACTGGCATAGCTGTCATGGCTTGGGCTGGCCCGGGTCAGGTTGGCTGGGATGGCTTGGGCAGCCCGGGGATCAGGCACGCCAGTGTGGCTGGGGACGGCCAGTGGGGGTTGGGCCAGCCTGGGTCGCTGGGGGCAGCTCAGGTATCGGGCCTGCTGGCAGCGGTTGGGCCAGCTGGGGCAGGCCAGAGCAGCTGGGGTGGGCTGGTCGGCACAGCTTGGGTTGTGGAATGCTTGGGGCTCCAGATGCAGGGAGAGGAGGGAATCAGGGAGGTGGGGCCTCAGGCGGAAGGGATGGGGCCGGCGGACTAGCCTCCCCAAAGGGCGGGTTCACCTGCTGCCCCTACCTGGTCACCTTCCTTAACTCCAAGACCTTAAGAATATTGTTTTCAGTATAGTTATATAATTCCTTAAATATTCTCCATACATAGATTTTACAATGATTATGAATACCAGTGGGTTACTGGTTTTCAGTAGACACCTCACATGCCACCCTTCGGTGAACTATCATGCATATATCTGGCCCAGAGGATCCCTGAAAAATCCTATATATCCCCTGTGCTCTCTGCCAGTTGGCATCCAGTTGTTCCTGGGTCACAGTTGTTAAGATTTCTGTTAAAACATGTTTTACAGTGTGCTCATGATGAATGCTTTTAACCTTTGCAATTTCAGACTGTTGGGTTGAGTAAGATGTGCATTTTTTAAAAATGATATAAGAATTATAATTTTTAATTATTATTTGAATCTGTGTTTCTAACAGATTGATGATGTAACCAGTAGCAATAAAGTCACAAAATTAATTCCATTTATAACTCCTACTCTACAAGAATCAAAGTAAGTAACTTATAACTATCATCATAAATTGACTCTTCCAATTCTGTGGAATCCTGTTTGTATTTAAGATTAAGTGAGAACTGTTATATCATCAGCAGGTTCTTCACTTCTCATTGATATTTTACTAATACTATTATTTGCTATCCTTATTTAGACTTTTATCCTGCAACTTCAGTGAGGCTCCACACAGATGCAGGGGTCTATCTTTGCAGGATCAGGGCCTTAGTAAGAAAATAACAAAGTGTGTTGAAGTTGTGTGAAATTCACCATGTGTACTGGCAGGCTGATTAAAGGGGAAATATCTGATCACTTATTTGTTGTCAGCTGTGAATTCAAATGTGGGTTTTCATCAGAAAAACATGGTTGACGCAGTTTTGGTCTCATTCTGCTTAGAAAATGAAATGTTATGCTTATGATTGCCTACATTCATTTGTCACATTCACCTTGTTCTGTTTTAGACTCTGGTGCCATGTTTTCTTTCATAATATTCCAAAGATATGTACTTTGCTTTCTTTGCAAACATCCAAAACTCTTGGTTAGGCAAAACAAAGCTGATAAGATCATTTTCCTAGCCCATTACTCTGGTCAAATTCCCCCCTCTTTGCCTCTCTCTGCTGGCTCTTCCTGTTTCACTGCATCAAATTCAAAGTTGGAGTGGCATAGGTTTGAGCAAGGTTGAAGTGGTAAGCTATAGATTGGAATTCAGAAAAATTCCCTTGCAAGTTGGTGCTTATTCTATAGTTGAGGGACAGATCTTGTTTACAGAAGGAGCCTGTATGTCTCTTCTGTTCCCAAGCCCTGCTTCAATTACAAGTTCTCATTGTGTTCCACATACTTGCTTGTTAGCAGAACACAAGTCAGAAATTGTCTGTTGCTCAATATTAAATTACTTTAAAATAAGTGAATTGATAATAAAATACATTTATATGGGTGTGATGACAGAGGATTCAACTTAAATTCCTCTGACATTGTCAAGTACCAAACAGGAATTACAGGGCTTCATCCAAAATGCCAACCAATTATTTTGTTAACAAATACTGTTTACTATAAGATTAGACATTTGCACCTTTAAAGTAATTATACAGTTTTAAAATATGATTTTGAGTTAGCATGTTAGGAAATCATTGCCAAGTAAATTTCAAAGAACAATTGAAGAAATATTATATATCTTAACATTCTTTTAGTTCCTACCATTTTAACTTCTGTGAATATCTTCTTTATAAACATAAGTAGAATCCACCATTTATAGTTAACCTTTGCTTTTAAAGAATTTCAGAATTCAACAAAACATTGCAGGAACTAAGCGAGGTAAGCACTTTTATTTGTGTGCTTATTTGTTATTATAGCTATTTGGAAACGTGCACTTCCTATTTATTTCTGACATTCTCAGTATCTGATGATCAAACATGTTTTCTATTGGAAGAATATTTTACTTTTATTTTATTTTTCCTTACAGTCTTCTGTTATGGAGTGTGCTGCAGAAAACCAAAGGTCTGCCATGTTAAAGTTTTAAATAATAATTTTACCCGTAAGGTCCCTGTACTGTATAGTGTACAAAAAATGGATATGTAGTAGAACTGAGCCAAACTAACTAGGAAATCAAATGTGGGGCTGATCTTGCCTCAATTGAAGTACATGGAAACAGGATTGAGGACCCATGTATACAGACTCAGGGACAGAGAGACCCTGGATCAAATCCATTATCATTATCCATAATCCCATTGAAGTCACTCTGGATTTACCCCAAAGTGTCAGAGAAGGGAGGAAGATTGGCTAGAGTACATCTTTAGGGACCATTGCCAGTTAGTGCAGGTTAGGATAGCTGCCAGGATAGGCTAATCTGCAACATGGTAGGTAATAGGGCAGAGGATCAAGGAACTGTAACTAGCTCCTTGACAGCTTTGTTCCTTCCCCTTACCCCCCCCCCCCGGCCTGCCCGCAGCTTTGTTCATGCAACATAAAATGCCCACCCTTTCTCAGTGGAGAAGAGGATTTGACCAGACCAGCAGGGAGGAAGACCGAAGGGATGGCACTGAAGATAGAACAGGACATTTGTCCCACCCCCCACGCCCAATTTGCCAGTTAGTAGGGGGATAGCTGATCATTTTTTGGTCAGCCACACATATCCCCAGCCCTGGATTATAATGCTTCTTCCCTAGACATGGGCACCATCTTTGCTGGCACTTAATGACTTTCTAGCCTCCCTCTCTGTGAGTTATTGGTGTTGAAGTACGGTTGCCAACTTTGGTTGGACTTATTCCTGGAGGTTTCATCAGATGACAATCTTTAATTAAAGATTAATCTTTAATTTCTGGAGACTCCAGAACAATCCTGGAGGGTTGGCAACCGTATCTTGAAGGTGGCATAATTTTGTTTTATGTACTGTGGGCCTAGCCAGAATGCCCCTCTGTGGGATCTGGAAGGAGTTTTCCCTCCAGGCAGAACTGGCTGATGTCCTGAGAGTATTTTGACTTTTTCACATCTTCTGGGAGGCTTGGATTGGGAGGAAGGACGTTTGAATTGTTTCCACTGTTGCTCAGTATGAGGTAGGGTAGTTGCTGACTGGCATGCTCCTGGGGTAATCTGATTTTGCTGGGGATTAGAAGGGAAGTCTCTTAAATCTAGTGCAGATCAAAAAATTCCTAGTCTCTACCTTCATTTGTATGAGGGGGGCAACTGGTTAGATCCCACAAATGACAGTGAGATCAGGCAGAGGCTGGCTGATTTCTTGTTTGGGGTTATGATGTCAGGAGTGCCACCAGCTTTTCTGCCGCCCTAGGCGGCGGAAGGTCCCGCCCTGAAATGCTGCCCCCCACAGAGGCGGCGGAAGGTCCCGCCGCCGAAATACCGCTGCGGTCGCCGCCCCCCAAATTGTAGCGCCCTAGGCAACCGCCTAGGTCGCCTAATAGATTGTGCCAACCCTGTATGATGTAAAGCCATGACCTCTTGCACTGGCCCCTTATTTTGAGTGGTAAGATTTGGGGTACTGGTCTCATCAGGATTACTTTGGCTAAACAAAAGTTTCAGCCTGTCACTTAAACTCAGTCACTGTGTTGTGTCTTCATTCGCCTACTTGTCTGGCTTAACTGAGTGCAGTGGAGAATCTGGCCTTAAGACTTCGTTGGTGTCTGTGGAACAAGGAGAGAGTAAACCAGCACAAAGTGATACTTTTGTTCTCTCTATTTTTAAAGTGAAAAGGATAGGTTGTTAGCATAATAATAGTCCTCAGATTTGAAAATAGGTTGGGAAAATGGTACTTGAATTCAGATATTGGCAGTATTTCTGTCTACAGCATATAAAGTTAAATCTGTTTCTTGTTTACAACTAATTTTCTTCTCATTGCAGTATATCAGTCTGTAAGTTTATAGTAAAGCTGGCCAAGACTGTTAATATAAGCAGTTTAATAGCACGTTTAAAAGACAGAGCAGATATACGCCAAATTGGTAAGTTGTCTTTAATATATTTTTATTACAGTGTCCCTCTTCAGTCTAAGGATAATAATTTTAAAGATGGCCTGTAAATGTTTTAACAAAAAAGAAGCAAATGCATTTTTAAAATAAAAGCATCAATTAAAGTTAGTTGCAGGTACAGTATATGTGAAGTGTCTCTCTGCCATGTTTCCTATTTTGGATATTCAGACATGGAAACCTATTTAGTGTTTGTATTTATTGGGGAGATTTTGTGTTAGAAAAACTGCTGATTAAGTTTGTACAACAAATTAATGAAGGACAGACTGCCACACTACTTGATGAAGTACAGGTATTTTTATGGTAGTGGGTCATGCTATCTTTTTTAAAATCACAAGTCTTGAAGTTGTGCATTCTACACTCCATTTGTTTGCAACATGCCAAAAGAGCCATCTCCACTGTCTGTGACAGCTTGTGCCACTCTGCAATTATGCAATGGTGTACTAATATTTATATTGATTTATTACATGATTATGAATGTGAAAAAAAGCTTGACAAACTATCTCAAAATGCTTTATGGAATTTAAATGGTCAAAATATGATTTTCAACAATTGTATATAATGGCTATGAATGCTACTGGACAAATCAGGATAATGCTTTTTTGTGTCTTTGTCACCATAGACCTATGCCTCTGTTCAGCTCTGCAATCTTGGCCCTCAACTGCTGAAGAGTTACAAATATTGCCATGGTAAGTATAAATAACAAAGGCTTCCTTTCCTATTTAAGGAATATTCTGATTTTTAGTTTGGGATGCACTAGCAAACACCCCAGCCACAACATAACAATTGGGAAGGGAATCTCCATAAGTAAAAGCCATTGGAATTTTCCTCTCCTTTTAGCTCTCTCACATGGGTTTTCCCACATGCTATAAGGTCCAAAGTCCAGATATCATCCACAAAGTAGGCACCCAACATAGTGTTGCTATTACAATACCTAAATTACTGGTGAACATTTAACAAAAATAGAATTCAGAATTTGCATCCTCAAACCGTGACAAATTAACAATATTTGTTGCCAGAGTACCACAGTCATCTGATATGATGCACTATTGTAATGATCAACAGAGGGTCCTGTGGCACTTCTGTTAGTCTTAAAGGGGCCACAGGACCCTCTGTTGCTTTTTACAGATTCAGACTAACACGGCTACCCCTCTGATATTGTAATGATGTTATTTAAAAGGTTTCCTTTACTGAAGCCTTATTAAATTGTGTTCTTTAATATATAAACAATGCTAAGCTTGCCACAACTTTCATACCATTCTTTTATTTTTCTATAGTTATGGACAAGTCACAGTTGGATGTGCTGCCACTTCCAAACTTGGCCCTTCAGCTTCTCCTACTGCTTCTTCCAGTAAAACTTCTATTGACAGACCTCCTCATGATATTCATCCCCCCAAACATACCACTGTTTTTTCTCCTCCTCTTTCAACCAGACATAACACTACAAATCATCTTTTGACCAACCTTATTGCTACGCATTCCACCATACCTACTATAATTCCCCCTGCTACTCCTTCTCCTACACACACCACTACAATTCCCCCTGCTACATCTTCTCCTACAAGTACCGTTAGCATTCCTATGCCTTTCACCAAACATTTCACTACATCTCTCACCAAATCTACCACAATTTCTCTTCCTACGTCTCCAACCAAACCTGCTACTGTAGTTCCTTCTGCCATTCCTTCAACCAAACCTATAAATGGGTCTTCTGCTCCTTCCACTGAACCTACCATCCTCTCACCTCCTGGTATTCATTCGACCACTGATAGCCAAGCTACCGGGGCCAATGGTACAACAGGTAAATATGACAAGCTGATAGATTGGCATCTTTTGTCTGAGGGAGTTTTTTTCCCCTCACAGAACTGAGATCTTACCCGTTTAATAAAGTTTCAAAACTGATTTAAGTAACATAGTTCTGAAAGAGCCTTGTGCTGTTAAGAATCTTAAGAAAACCTAATAGAGTACAGAACTCTTTGGGAGAGGTTCTGCCACCCTTACTCATGTTGACTAGTGCCTTACTCTACAAGTAGACCCATTGATAACAATAGGAGTTAAGGCTCTATGTGACCGGTTTCTAGCACCACACATTGGATAGGCAAAATGCAGTAAACAAATAAGAGTGACAGAACTGGGCAGAAAAGCCTTGAAATAAGTTTGAATTTAAAATAAGTCTTCATGATTTTAGAGGCTTTTATGCTTCAGTGAAAAAACATAGCAAAAAAAAAAAAACCAAAACAAAACAACAACAAAAGACCAGAAGAGGGATGGGAGGGGGGGAAAAGAATATATTTTCAATCCTGCAACTAAATGTATTCTTCAGATAAATTACCAACTGCTTTCATATATTTCTCTTCTTTTTTTCCCTTAAAAGAAAGGGATTCGGAGTCATGGCAAAGAATTCTCAGTTGCGGCCATAAAAAAAAAAACGCTTTGTGGAAACAAAGCAAAATTATCCATCAATACTAGATCCTCCTTAAAAAGTTGAAACTGGGTGGGAATATCCTCTGAGATTTTAGATATTTACGTTTGTGTGAGTATGTTGTCTCTGAAATCCCTACTCTGGATCTTATCCTACTCCCACTGAAGTCAAAAGATAAAACTTCCAGAGAATAGTTAATTAAAATGTCATTAAAGGCCAGACATATCATCAAATGTGCCTGGTCTACTGAAGACCACTGCGCCAGCCAGAGTGACCATGGCTGATGGCATCATACCAGACATTGTAGAGAGAAGTTCCCAGATCTGACTCAGTCCTGTGAATCCATGAATCTCTGGGGTGGCCCCTCAGGCAACATCAGGTAGAATCCAGGCATACACCCCTTTGTATGTCGATGGAGAGTTTGAGAGCATGGTGTGCTGGGATATCCTGGCGACATGGCAGAGGAATATGCAATGCTGATTTTGAATACAGTGAATGACTGGAGGAAGGGCAGATCTCTGCAAGATTATGGTATTTTGCACAAGTCAAACCACTTTATGCTCAGGATTTGGTGATGACAGCGCATATGGAATGCCTCTAGCTCTCCAAGTCTGCCTGTAATAGAGTCCAAGTTTCTAACCAATATAGCAGTATGGCAGTACACAAGTTTGATAGATCCTGAACTTTGTCTCAGCACAGAGATGTTTTTGCATCCATAGGCAGCATGAACTTCATGTAGGAGGTGGTGAGACCTATTTGTCAGAGGACATCTGGTTTGCTGTAACAGTTTGAACTCAGTTTGTGGCCTAGGTAGATGAACTCATCGGCGCTGTCCATGGTGCTCGACCCCATCTTTATTGAGGATTCTGGTGGCCCAGCTCCAAGGTTCTGGACATTGGTCTTCTGCCATGAGACATTCAACTCCACGGTGTGGGCAGCATCTCGGAAACTTTGAAGGCAGGGTGGAAATTCTCTGTCTTTCCCACAAATAGGACAGCATCATAGGCATAATCTTGGTCAATGAACGTGGCTTGACCGACCTTGATTCCGATGTTTGGAGTGGGAAATCCTAGTATTCAGTCAATAGCTCAGCAGAAGGCTGCCAGGGAGAGAACACACCTCTGCTGCACAGCTGACGTTGTGCAGAAAGCCATGAACCAATGCACACTTTCACACTGGTACCAGGGTGAAGATCGTGCACTTGGAACTCCAGCTCCTTTTAGTGTGAACCTGTCAACCAGATCAAAAGCCATATATTGATGGCAATATATGCCGTGTGAAGTGGGTGGTTAAATTCTTGGTGCATCTCAGCTGGAGGGTAAAGGACAGTCCCATAGTGAAACCTGATTGCTGTGGAAGTCTATTAAAAAGTGGCTGCATCCTACCAAGCAGAATGCGAGCAAAGATCTTTCCAGGGACCGATAGCAGTAAGATCAGCCTGTAGATGCCACACTCAGTGCAAGATCCTTTACCCTTGCAAAGGGACACTATGATGTAGTCTTTCCATTCTGCTGGTACTCTCCCTGATGCCCACTTTTAAAAACAATTGGTGAAGATCAATGCACCTCTTGTCATGACCAGCACATGGGCGGTCTGGCCTAGTGGGTAGGACCAGGAGACTAGTCTAGTGGTCAGCACAGGAGTAGGGCCTGATAGCGGAGCAGGAGTTGGGATCCATGAGTCGGGATGCAGGAGTCAGAAACCAGGAGTCAAGCTGAAGGTCAGAACCACAGTCAGGAATCAGAGGTGTAGTCGGAGTCTGTAGCTCGAGTCAGGGATCAGGGTCAAGCAAAGGGGCAGAGCCGAAGAACAGAGGCAGGGTCAGAAGCAGGGAATTGAGAGTGGGGTCTGTTATAGCAGCACCCCAGGTACTGAAGAGTTGCACAGACATCTTTCTGGAATTTCCTCTATGCTTAAATAGTGAGTCTGGACCAATCAGAGGTCAAGTATTCTGTGGAAGGCACTTCTTTTGGTGCTTAGTCTCCTGGGGTTTATAGTACATTGATCATGGTTCTGCTATGATTGCTGGATGGGTGGTGTTGTAGCAGAGGTCACCCAAAGCTCTGCAGACCAAGATACTATCTTCTGGATCCTTATACCTCTGCTCAGCTGTGCCTGATGTAAAGACCATTGAATTCAATGGAAAGATCCTCTCTACATTGGTACAAGAAAAATAGAAGAGTAAAAATAGATAAATGTCAGCATTGCACTTTTTATGGAATTAATATTTTTGGAATTTGGCATATTAAAATAGGGATGCATCTGTCACAGCCTGGCCCAGTACTACACTGTACAGATGCCAGTCTGTTGTGAGTGGACCTAAATGCTGGATCTCAAATGCTTCTTACCCAAATAGGTCTGGGTAGGAACTACTCACTGTTTCTTGCTCTGGGACTCTAAGGCACATACATAGGCTCCATCTGCTTATCTGAGCCCTTCTTGAGATGTGGGACTCCACAGTCCAGGTGCTCCAGACCATGAAACCACTGCCTCAGACCTAGTTCCCAAGTTGCTTATACACACTCCTTCAGAATTCCTCCTAAACTGTGGGAACTGTGGCTTCTTAGTTTAACCCCTTCAGGGACAACATGGCAGGAAAGCAGGGAAGGAATTTCTTAATCACAGTCACTTTACTCTTAACAAGCACAAGAGAGTTACAGATCTTTTCAAAATAGCAAGTCCTGAGATGCATCCTCCCCTTGACTAGTCTCACTGCTCCAGTGAGTTTGAAGTTTGTCAGCCCTTCAGACTAGGCAGAGTGCCTCCTGCCTTCTTTCTCTCCAGCCAGTCCTCCTTACATGTAGGGCAGCCAAGATTATACCATAACTATAAATATTTTACCAGTTAATGCATATTTTCTAACAATAGCTCTCAATTTAAGGATATAAAATTAGAATTAGCAGGCTGAAAATTAGAGACTAGTTTAAACAAAACAGGGTCCATTTACACCGGTGCTGAATTTTAATCTTCTTTATATATGTGAATAGTATAATTCCACTGTGATTTAATTAGTGATGAACGTCCACCTTCTGGGCTAGGCTTGCTGTGTGAAAACAAGTTGGGTGAGGTAATATCTTTAATTGGACCAAGTTCTGCTGGAAAAAGATACAAGCTTTTGAGCTTACACAAAGCTGCTCTTCTGACCTGAAGAACTCTGTGTAAGCTCGGAAGCTTGTCTCTTTGTCCAAGAGAAGTTGGTCCAATAAACAATATTACCTCATCTGCCTCGTCTCTGTATCTTCGGCAGGTCTTCAATGACTCAGCCTTCTGGGCCTAGTCACACACCGTGGAATAGAACAAACCCCTTTCAGGGTATACAGTCTTTAAATTGTTCGGGCCCTGGTATAGGGCATACCCCCTGGGCTTCCTCCCCAAAGACATTGTCTTCCTGGAGCCCTCCCTGGTCTCAGTATTTGCTTAGTCCCCACAGCCAGCCAGGAGCGTCTTCCTATTTCCCCCATTCCCTGCCACACTGAGCTGTCCATGGTCCTGCTGCTCTTCCAGCCAGCTAGGAAAATGGTCAACTCTCTTCCCACTCCAGGCAGCAACTGACTGTTCTGTTTCTGTTGCCGCTTTTTATATGGCCCTCCTGGGCTCTGACTGGCCACTCCAGCAGCTCCTCTGATTGGCTGCTTCCCCTGCAGCCATTGTAGGCTGCTTAGAGGACTTCTCTTCTGCTCTTTTCTGGGGCTGGGCGAGGCAGGGCTATGCAGCCTCCAGCAGGGTCTCCAGACGTAGTCCACCCCTTCACAGTAACCCACCAGTAAGTGTGTGTTATAAGTCTGCCTCTGTGCCAGTCTGCAGAGAATACTAATCTATTATAGCCTTAGCTCTGGAGCCTAGTCTCTTTAATTCAATCCTTAATAACTCATGCAGTTAATTCTGGAGGTCTATGGGTTCAGTCCCTGGTACATCAGCCTAGATCAGTGGTCTCTAACCTTTTTACACCCAAGATCACTTTCTGAATTTAAGGGCAACCCAGAATCTACCCCGCCCCTTCCCTAAGGCCCTGTCCCTTCCCCGAAACCCCACCCCACTCACTCCACCCCCCTTTTTCTCTGTCACTCACTCTCCCCCACCCTCACTCACTTTCACTGGGCTGGGGCAGGGGATTGGGGTTCAGGAGGGGTGCAGGCTCTGGGCTGGGGCCGAGGGATTCACGGTGTGGGAGGGGGCTCCAGGCTGAGCCTGGGGCAGGGGGTTGGGGTGCAGGAGGGGGTATGGAGTGCTAGCTCCAGGAGGGGGGCTCAGGGCTGGGGCACAGGCTCCCACCAGGGGCACTTACCTTGGGTTGCTCCTAATCGGTGGTGCAGAGGGGCTAAGGCAGGCTCCCTGTCTGCCCCAGCCCCACTCAGGCACATTGACACCTCCTCCCCATCATGAGCCAGGCCACCGTCCCACCCTGCCAGCCAGTAGTGCACCACATGGCCATGCCGCTCCCAGAAAGGACCAGTGCACCCTTGCAGCCCCTGGAGGGGACACATTGCTCTGTGCACTGCCCCTTTCTGCAGGCATTGCCCCCACAGCTCCCATTAGCCACCGCTCCCCATTCCTGGCCAATGGGAGCTGCGGGAGCGGTGCTTCTGGGCAGGAGCAGCGCGAAGAGACACCTGCAGGGCTGCTGGGGCGTGCTGGCCGCTTCCGGGAGTGACATGGGGCCAGAGCAGGCAAGGAGCCTGCCTTAGCGGCAGGCAGCCCCGCTACGCCACCACGGCCAGAGATCATGATCAACTAGGAGAGTCTCCAGGGTTGACCAGTCGATCGCAATCGACAGGTTGGTGACCACTGGCCTAGATGGTAGCCATCACATAATGGCTCATTTTTCTCCTCAGGTTTATTCCCTTTGACATACACAATATTCTGATGGTTTTCAATTAATGTACACTATTTTTCTTCTGCCATAGGAAACATTTTGGATAATCTGTCAAATATCACACATACCACGATTAATCCCTCTGAAGTTGAGAGCATAATATCCAAAATGGAAAGTGTTCTGTCAGCCCAGAAAATAGAGCCAAAAGTTGCAAAAGAGATGGTCAACACAATTAGCGATCTCCTAAATGCTCCATTACAATCCCCAATGTCTAACAGGTATGCATTTTTGTAAACAGATGAACTGAATGTTGTGTTTGTCATCTTGGTAAAGTGATACATTATAGGTAGCTCCTCGAATGATGGGCAAACTATCAGCCTGCACTTTTTTTCCCTCGCCCACACTGAAATTTTATATCAGAGACATGATTCTGATTCCATTGGTTTTACACTGATGTAATTCCATGGCCTTCAGTTGAGTTCCTTCTTATTTACATTGGCATAAGAGAGATCAGAGAAAAGCTGTGATTGTTTTCAGAATATGCTTGGCTTGCTGTTTCACAACTGCTTGAAAATGAAGCGATAGGCGCATTGTAATACTAAGCATATTTTGTCTTAACAGAATAATAAAAATAGTGGATGCCATTGGCTTAAAACTGAACTTTTCAACAGAATCCATTAATTTTACCTCCCCGGCCTTGGCTCTAGCAGTCACCAAAGTCCACAGCAGCAACTTCAGCAAAATGTCATTTGCTGTCCAAGATTCATCAGATCTTCAGGTAAAGTCACTTATGATTTTAATCCTTAAACATTTAAATGCAGACTCTTTGTGGATAAAGGGCATTTGTTATATTGAAAAATAGAGAGATTTAATCAAGAGAATCTGAAATCCAGATCTGCCATAGGATATTTGTTAGGCGTGTCTGCTGTAATCAGAGGATCTTTATTAACTAGGAGAAAAATTCGGTATCGATAAGAAGGGTGTAAGCTACTGTCCTAGCAGAAGCTGATATTTCACTAACAAGCTGTTAGTAAGGGAACAGGCAGAACACCAGAAGGATTTGGCAAAACATCCCCCTACTCCAGCAGCCTAAAATCATGAATAGTTTAATCACCCACCCCCAGAGCATTGAAGAATTTCAAGGAGTTTTGCCAGATGGCCTCACCTGTCAGAAGTGGTATTAGAATTACATTGGCTGCCTGGAAAAGAGCTATTAAGTTGCTTAGTTGATGAATTTCATATATATTTGCCACTCACAGTCAGTTGGCCTTGCCAAGAAAAAAGTGCTTGGAAAGGTTTAACACCGCTTTCTCACTTGAAAGCCTTTCCACCCCCTGATTTCGGGATAATTCTAAAGGGCACACTACAAACCATTAAGGCTTTTTCTGTGAGAGATCAAAAGTTCTCAACAAATATTAGAGCACTGTTGGTCTTCCCAGGCAAGTTGGTAACAGTCTGATTTGAGCAATAAGTGGTACTTATATCCTTCTAGATTATAAATAATGTGAAATAACTGCAAGATCTAAGTTCTGTTTTGTTTTCCTAAAAATGTGTGATGTATAAGTGTCTGGTGAGACTAGGAAGGAGGTAGTAGTGGTGGAAACTTGACATTTGCTACTCCTGGAGGAATTCTGCACCACTGTGCCTGCACAGAATTCATGTGTCCCCCCAGATTTTTTTGCTTCTCCACAGAAAATGATGGGGAAACAAAGGGAAGCTGCAAGAGCGGTCATGAGCTCCTCCCCAGCAGCCCAGGTGCATCATTTTGGGTGCCTGGAGCAGCTGGTGGAGAGGTAAATCACCAGAAAGGGGGCAGAGCTGGGATGCCCCAGCGAGTAGTTTCTACCCTGCGCTGGGCTCAGCTGCTAGTCCAGGCTGGGCTGGGCAGAACGGGACTTCCTCTTTCCCTGCAAGGAGTGGCCAGGGCTGCGTCAGACCCACCCTCGGCTGCAGGAAGCTCTGTACCCCCTCCTGCTTCCTGGCCCAATGCTCCTCAGCCACGGAGGGAGGGGACACTGTACAGGGAGTTACTCCCCCATCCGCCCACCCCCTGCGCATCCAGAGCCCTTCTGCACCCAGACTACCCCTGCTGAGTCCCCCATACTCAAATTCCCAGCCTGATGAGACCCATCCCTCTGCACCTGGACCACCCTGACAAGCCCTCCACACCCAGATCCCCAACCCACCGAGGCCCAACCAGCTGCACCCAGACCCCCACCCCACCAAGCCCCACTTCCCCAGCACCTGGACTCCCCCACCAAACTCCATCCCCCCCCCCACCCTGCTGAGCCTGAACAACTTTCACTTGGATTCCCCCTGCATCTGGAACCCCTTAATGAGCCCCTGTGCATCCAGATCCACTCTGCACCCGGTTTGCCCACCAAGCCATCTGCACCCAGATTGCCCCACACAGAACCCTCTTACCCCACATTAAGCCCTTCCACACTTAGATTGTGCCAGGCTGAGCCTGCCTGCCCCACACCTAGGTCAGGGGCCAAGACTGGGCGTATGAGACTTTGTCCCTCTTGCTTGCTATCTTGGTGCATATGGCATGGAGGGGCAGGGCCCCAGGATGTTTCTGGGGCAGGCCTGGCCCTTGCACTGTGTCAGGGTTGGGTGCAACCTCACTGCCCAGTCTGTGTCCAGAGGAGTGAGGGAGCATTGCAGGGTGATCTCCCACCTCTATGCAGCCAGCGACCTGTGCTCCCCACTACCATGCTGGAGCCTCCATCTCTCTTTATGGACAATAAAATATGCAGAATTTTAGAATATTGTGTGAATAAATTCTTAAATTTTTTGGTGAAGAGTTCCCTCAGGAGTAATTTGGCTAAGTAAATCTCATGATGTACTATAAGGTTTAGGGGACTGGTAATGAGATATGCAGAGCTTTTCAACAAATTTGTATCTAGTCTGGATTAGAGTGATGGAAATGCCTTCGTAAACTTAGCTGGCGTCTCAGTGCTAACAGCCTGAGAGGTGAGAGACTGGGTTCTGGAGTTTGAACTACCCTTGCACACTGAGAAGTTACCCCTCCCTGACCTCCAGGGCAGGACTGATGCACATTGTTAGAGCATTGCTGGGAAGCTTGCGCTGCTGTTTCTCAGCTGTGACTGCTCTTTTGATGATACATATGACTTCTGTCTTGAGTTCTGAGAGTCTAACACCTTTCATGAGCTCTAAACTATTACTCTTTTTTTAAGTTGTACAACTACAGTATCTTAGCGATACTAGTCACCTCAGAAAGCTAACGAGACTAAAACATACTTAATCTTAAAGGTGTACCCCAAAAGTTTAGCTAAAAGTTAACATCCTGTTTGTATGATGTTACATCTTTAAGGTCTTGAGAAAACTGAACTACAGTTGATCTGGTTTACCTGCTAGAATGAATGACATCACCAGTACTATAAACAATGGAATAAAAATAAGCAGTTTAAAAAGGAATAATTATTTCAAACCTTTGCTTTGTATAGTCATAATTAAAGATGAGCCCACACCAAGATCCTAGCTCTGAAGACACCCAAATTTTGAAGGAGTTCAAATTATGATCCTAGATTTAAACCCAAATTTTACAAAGTGTCCTTAGTTTTATAATATGCCAAATAAAAATTCTGATCTGCAGACCTTTAACTTTAGGGCTTGATCTCATCTCCTAGTTATGGTGTCAGATGTCTGGCAGCAAATGATGTTAAAGTTGGGATAATTGTCTCAAATTTTGTTTAAGATGCAGTATTAAACTTCAGTTACAAACAGTGGCTATGTACAGCTCTTTTGGATTCATACAGAAAGGGTTTGGGGATTTCTTTTAAAAAATCAAAACAATTTTGTAGTAAACCTTTAATAACATTGTCATCACTGCCACCTCCTTCCTGATGTCTGGAATTTAAGTAGTTAAATACTTCTGTAAATTTCTGTGCTACAAAATACCAACTTTGGATAAGCTAAAATATATGCGGAACTATACGTCTGTTTCCCAGTTCCCTCCTCCTTACCATCTCAGTGTTTCTTATAAAAGCATACATTGTTTTTCCCTCTTCTCTCAGCCCCTGGAATGACTCCTTAAGAGCGAGATTGTTGCTAGCCCCAGTGCAGCTGTGCAATGCCCCACCTCCTGCATAGCTCCTACATTAGAGCTACCCAGATTATGGCTCTGGGTCCTTTGCAAAGCACAGTTACCCACAATGCCGATGCTCTGTCCTCATGAGCAAATGGATGGAGCCATAGCTGGGTGCAAGAGCGGAGGTAAATTATTTCTCCCCTGGAGCTAAAGAAGAGCAGGGGATGCAGCTAATAGGGAGGCAAGGTGTGCAACATGAATTTTCACATGGGGCTGGAGAGTGAGCCTGTCCCACATGCACCTGGCAGCAACAGCTCCTGGTCTGCAGGGCTTGGCCCAGCTCCCTGCTCTGGGCATTGCAACATGACTCATTGGGTGGGGTAGTGCTGCAACCCCACGTACCATGTTACAATGCCATTCACTCAAATTTGGCTTGGCCACCCTTCCATCACAACAGGTGGGTGGCTGGGCCGAACCTGAATGGCCCTGCAACCACATGCACTAGGGCTCAATGCCAAGAATGGAGGACTGGACCAAGCCCAGTGGGACAGGAAGCACAGCTGCTGGGGGTGCATGGGCAGACTTGCGCTCTAGCCCACAACCAATGGTCCCCCCGCCCGCAAGTTGCAAAACCTGGCTCTGCCACTGAGGGGAAATAGTATGATTCTGAGTCATGGCTCCTTCCCAATGGTGCTCCAGGGGTGGCACAGCTATACAATAGGCTGCTCCTATATTCAGGATTGAGCCTAAGGCACAAGCTAATCTTCTGTTAGCAAGAAAAATTATTATGCCTTTTTCTGTTTAATTTTCAGATTGCTTTAGGGACCCAAGCACCTATAAATAGTGTTGGAGCTATTGCACTGCCTTCCTCATTGCTGACAAACTTGTCTTCTGAAGATATGCCTCTGGCTTCTAGAATTATATTCAACTTTTTTGAAAAGACAACTCCATTTCAGGTAACTTTTTGGGACCCTGTACATGCGGGCTCCTTCATAATAATCTTTAACTCCGTGTTAGAACTGATCGAAAAATGGGGTGGTGAGGGGCAAATGAGCATAAATTCTCACAAAAATTCATTCCATTTCTAATCAGATGATTTTAACATTTCAGACACTTTTGCCCAGCTCTAATCATTGCAATAACTGAAATTGTGTGTGTGTATGCTCTATTGTATTTAATTTTTTTCTACTCTTAGTTACCTTTTTGTTGTTTCAGGATTCTTCACTCGAGAATCTCTCTCTAATCAGTAATGTCATATCATCAAGTGTAGCTAACCTCACGCTTAGCAACTTGAAGGCAAATGTTACTGTCACTCTACAGAACACCAAGCCTATTCAGGTATGACTTAAGTTTTAGCAGTTTACAAAATGCCATTTTACTGACTCACTTAGAATTGTTTTAACACTTATACTATGCTGAATATGCAGGCTGCTTCAGTTGCTCTATGGTTCTTTTGTGGTTTTCTCATCTAAGTTCATTGGCTTCAAAATTTCTAACAGATCTCATGTGAGCCAATAATGTTTATTAATTAACATTATGCAAACCATTGACTTGCAGTTATTAGGGATTTTTCTCTATTCTATCAAATTCCTACCCAGCCAGCATATTTTATGGTGTTCCCCCTTAGATGAATGAATATGTCATGAGTGGGGTTTAGGCAGTTATGGCTAATAGGGAAACACTGGCAACATGGCTTTCACTGAGGTAATGCAGCCAGGAAACAGCATTTAGCATATAGCCTTGGCTTGGCCTGTGTGGTTGTCCTTAGATCCACACAGATTTGGGTAATCTATACATTTTGGGGGCTGATATCCCCTGCTTGTTCATGGATGGATTAAAATCTGCCGGTCTCCCAAGAAACATTCTGGGTTGAAACTAGCAGAGATTCCAGTCCCTTGTGTGGGATTTTCCCAAAGCTAGCTCTCTGTAATCAGAACTTGCACTGGTAAAATATTGAGGCCAATGCAACAATGTAGTATTGTTGTTCATAATAACATTATATATCATTTATTAGCTGCAATGTTCTAGGATCCTCAAGAAAAATACAACACTTTTAAAACTTTAACATTGCAATACTAAAACATGACCAAAAACCTTTTTTTAAAAAAATAATTCCTTACCAGAGGCAAACTTACAGACATCACATAGTCTGCCCTTATGTTACGTATCCTAAAATGAAGAGTTCCATTCCCTCCAAACTAAGAGTTTGATTCTGCAGACACTTATGAGTAGCTTGTATTGAGATGAGTAATCCCTTTGAAGCCACAAGTAAGATGTGCAGGGTTGTGGTCTGTCACAGGTCAGTACTCTCTCTCCCCCTGGATTTCTTACTGCAAACTGTCCTCTCACACACTGATAGCTAGTTTTATTTATAACATGCTCTGCAAGGGTTTGTTCCCCACAGCATAAGGCAGCAGTCCCCCCAAACCTTTACCTAGTACCCAGGCACAGGGAAAAGAGAGATCTCACCTCTCAAGCTTCTCTGGCCCTTCCTTTCAGCCTTACCCTCCTATCTCCGCCTGTCTCTTTTTTAACTGTCCTCAGCTGAGGAACTAAATCATCTTATTAACTGGTTAATTACCTGGTGCTTAACCAATTATCTCAATTTGGCCCTTGTCGAGACCCTTGCAAAGTGCACAGAGTGATGAGTCAGCCTTAGGTGACTCACACTCTGTCACATAGTCCAAGAGGTTAAGATAATATTTAGGATGTGAGAAACTTGGAAAGATTAAAATAAAACCTTAAATTCAATCTACACTGTCCATACAGACAACAAAACAGCAGGTAGTTAGGAAAAGCCCCTATTCCTACCACCAATAATAATCCTTCTGCACAAGCTAAGGGCAATAGATCTACTCATATAGCCAAGTTTAGTTTGTTATGTATATCCACATTTGAATAGATGTCCTCATCCATCCACAGTCTGGTACACCTTAGGCTAACATAGAAGAAATAGCTTTTCCTTATTATGTTGTATTGCTATAGACAGTCCTTACTACTTTGTCCAATTTACACTCATAACTGCCTTACTCATCAACTTATAATTCAGTAAAATGTGTGTATTTTTTTCAAACAGGATAATTTAACAGTTAGATGTGCATTTTGGGACTTTAATAAAAATGGTAAGTATTTGATATCACCATTTCTAAGTGCCATGCCATCTCAGCTGTGTTAACTTTTGTTAATCGTTTTAAGAGATATTGTAAATATTATCCTTAATGGAATCTTGTTATCTGTAACAGGTGGCAAAGGAGGCTGGTCATATGAAGGATGCATGGTTAAAGAAAGGAGAGCAAATGAAACAGTTTGTACATGCAACCACCTCACAAGTTTTGGAGTTTTGCTGGTAATTAGTTATAAATAATATCCCAAACTGGTGCATTTGGATCCCTGATTCAGGAAAACGCTCATGCACATGCTTAACTTTAAGCAAATGAGGCTGTTGAACTGGGGGCATGACCAATGAAGTCTAAGGGTATGTCTACACTGCAGTTAGACACCCGCAGCTGGCCTGTGCCAGCTGACTTGGGGTCGCCGGGCTTGGGCTAAGGGGATGTTTAACTGTAGAATAGATGTTCGGGCTTAAAGATAATTTCTGTTTTCTTTTTTAGGACCTGTCCAGAAATCCTCCTTTATCACCCATCCAGACACTGGTTCTGACTTTTATCACCTATATAGGCTGTGGCATTTCTGCAATTTTTCTTTCTGTTACTCTTGTAACCTACATAGCCTTTGAGTAAGTACCTGCAGAGTTAAACTTACATTATAAACTTGATCATGATTGTCCATAACCACCACCCTGAAGGACAATGGATGAGTCCTTTCTTCCTCAAGTGATTGCACATGTCCATTCCAATCTAGGTGTGTGTGTGCCCCAAGAACAGTCGCCAGAAATTTCTTCCTCCATAGTACCCGTCAGGGTGGCACTGGTGCCGTCTGGTACCGTGTGTTCATAGCACTGGTTTAAAGGGCCCAACTGACCCTGTGCCCCTCAGTTCCTTCTTACCTGTGATGGTCGCTGGATGGCCTGTGATGGTCGCTGGAATTGTTCCCCTTGCTACGGTAAGCTTTACAGTGGACTTCCTTTCTGATTGTTGTATATAGTTTGTTTCCAGTTAGTTAGCAGAGTTTTCTCCGTACCCTTCAAGCTCTGTGTCGCCCACAATAAGACAATGCCCCTGAGTTGTTTGAAATGGTTGGGTGAGGCTCACATTGGGGACTGGTGCCAAATTTGCAGGGACTTTAAACCCCGTACCAAGAAGGACTGGCAGGCTAAATTGAAGTTTCGCCTAATGGAGGCAGCACTGAGACCTTCCTCTGAGGTGAGATGGTTGAACTCGGCACCGAGCACCTCAGCGTCACTAAGGAGCGCTTCTCCTATGGTGTGAGAGTCCCAGCACTGTGTGCTAGCCTTGTTGCCGAGGAAGAGGCACACGGGGCAGCCAGCCAAGAGGGGATGTTCCCCGAATCCTAAGAAGGCCAGGCATGGAAAGCAGAGCAGAGTGCAACCTAAGTCAGGCCACTCCTCTGTCTTGGCGTCAGTCTGAACTGTTGACTCCAGGCCTTATGTGGGTACCGTTGAGTCTGTTACTGGACAAACCATCAGCACGCGAAAGACAGCGCGGCACCGGCGCCACTGAGGTGCTGTCTACACCGGAGGCATTTGCTGCTGCCAGAGATCTGCTAGTGCTCTCCGTACCGCTATTACCGGCAGTACAGGAACCATTGTTGTTGGTGCTGGTGGACAGGAGGGAGCACGTAGCCCCCAGTGGCTGCTTGGTTCTGTATCCTGCGGTACAGTCTAGAAGAAAACAAACGCAAGCTTCCTCACCTTGGCACTGATATCCAGCACTGGTGAGAACCGCACCTCCATGGTCCCCAGAGGAAAGCTCATCGTTGGAATTGGAGGTTGGGCCGTACTCCTCTCAGCAGAGGAGTCACCCCTGTTACCCCTCCAGTCATCCCTGCCCTGCCATAAACCACAGCACAGGAGTGCCATTGAGTGCTTGGCCTAGTGGTCACTTACCTATGCCAATGCAATGGACCTTTTGGAACCCATGGGCGATGCCCTTGATGGTGGGGCCCCATTCGGGATGCTCATTCTTGGTGACCTCTGAGAGAAGAGCACATCCGTCCCATCGGGCAGCACCTGATCCGGACATTTCGGGCAGGAGTGTCCTGGTGCTTATGGACAACACTGCAGCTGTGTTCAATCTCAACAGGAAGGGAAGGGCTCGTTCTTCCTTCCACACACACCCTGTATCAGGAAGCAATTCACTTATAGGAGTTCTGCATAGGCTACATAATTTTTCTTGAGGCTTCTCACCTTCCGGGAGTGCAGAATGAACTGGCAGATTGCCTCAACAGCCTCCAATCATCATAAGTGGTCCCTTTTCCTGGACATCATGAGGGATGCTTCCCAGTGTTGGAGGACTCCCCAGATAGACCTGTCTGCAACTGGGTTTAAGTTTTGCTCCCTGCAAGGCCACAGCCCAGGTTTGCTCACAGATGCCTTCTTGCTCCCATGGACAGTTCACCTGTTCTACACTTTCCCCTCTATCCTGCTTGTGCACAAGGTTCTGCTAAAAATCAAGTGGGATCAGGCATGGGTCATTCTTATAGCCCCACCTTGGCCCTGTCAGCACTAGTTCGCCACACTGCTAGGCCTTTCAGTGGCTGCTCCAATTCCACTCCCTCTATATCTGGACCTGATCTCCCTGGACCACAGTTGTCTGCTCCACTCAAACCTCAGCTCCCTCCACTGATGGTCTGGAAGCTCTGTGGGTATGTCCTGGAGAGTTGGCTTGCTCAGAGCAGGTTCACCAGGTCCTATTAGGGAGCACATAACCCTCCACCAGGGCTATGTACCTCTCAAAATGGAGGCGGTTCTCCATATGGGCTTCCCAGCAGGGAGTCTCACCCACAAAGTTGTCTCTGCAGGACATGCTCGACTATTTGCTATGCTTGAAACAGCAAGATTTAACAATTTCCTCAATTAATGTCCACCTTGCAACGATTTCATCGTTTCACCCCCGGTGGAAAGCTGGTTCGTTTTTTCATGAGATGTCCATCCATTTCATCAAGGGCCTGGAAAGACTATACCCTCAAGTACAGGAACCTGTCCCTCCATAGAACTTAAACCTGGTCTTATCAAAACTTTTGGGTTTCCCATTTGAGCCATTGGCAACATGTCCCTTGTCATACCTTTCACGGAAGCTGGCTTTCTTAGTGGCCATTACTTCGGCCAGAAAAGTCTTGGAGATCTGCACCCTCACGTTGGAGCCTCCATACGTGGTTTTCTTTAAGGATAAGGTGCAATTGCGTCCTCATCCCAGCTTCCTCCTGAAAGTGGCTTCCCAGTTTCATAGTAATCAGGCAATCTTCCTACCTGTTTTCTCCTCAAAGCCACATGTGAGTAGGGAGGAGCAACATCTTCACACTCTGGACATTAGAATGCCATAGTGTTCTACACAGAGAGGACTAAATCGTTCCGTAGATCCACCCAACTCATTGTAGCGATTGCTGAAAGGAAGAAAGGTCTCCCTATCTCGGCTCAGAGACTTTTATCGTGGATTACATCGTGCATTTGTACGTGTTATGAGCAGGTGAGTGTTCCAGCACCAGCTATCCTGACTGCCCACTCCACTAGAGCGCAAGCATCATCATCAGCATTCTTGGCTCAGGTCCCTATTCAGGACATTTGCAGAGCGGCGACTTGGATGTCAGTGCATACATTCTCTAGTCATTACACCTTTACTCAACAGGCTAGGGATGATGCCCATTTCGGTCGAGCTGTTTTACGGTCAGCATGTCCATAAACTCTGATCCCACCTCCTATGCAACCGCTTGGGATTCATCTACATCCTTACATTGGAATGGACATGTGCACTCACTCAAAGAAGAAAAATAATTTAATAACCTTTCTGTAACTGTTGTTCTTCGAGATGTGTTGCACGTGTCCATTGCATAACCCCCATCGTCCTACCCCTCTTTTTTGGAGTTGGCTGGATAGAAGGAATTGGGGGGGGGGGGTCGTCTGGGCCCTTCATACTGGCGCTATGAATGCACGGCACCAGAGGGCGCCAGAGCCACTCTGCAGGTACCACTACCACTGAGGGAAGAATTTATCGTGACTGTGCTTGGGGCATACACACACCTACCTTGGAATGGACATGTGTAACACATCTCGAAGAACAACAGTTATGCAGAGGTTAGTTGCTATTTTTTCTAGTAGGTTTCATTTCTACCTCAATAGTAGTACACAGAATGGGTACACTTTAAGGGGTGTATATCAAGATTTGATTCTCACCAGGGAAGAGTATCTTATAAATAAAATAATTTATCATGCAGTTTTGTATAGCTGGAAGCCAAGGAGCTGGGAAGGGGTTACTACAAATTGTCCTAATAAAGTGGAATGTACAAGGAATCTTTTAAAAATAAGGTACATATATGCACAATACATTTCCAAAATATTAACATGTTGTTAGACCAGAGGTGGGCAAATTACGGTCCACGGGACCCTCCTGCCCGGCCCCTGAGCTCCTGGCCCGGGATGCTGGCCCCCGGCCCCTCCCCTGCTGTTCGCCCTCCCCCACAGCCTTAGCTCGCCGCACCACCGGCGCAATTCTCTGGGTGGCGGGGCTCTTGTAGAGTTACGGCTTGACACGGTGCTCTGTGCTGCGCAGTAGCATGGCTGGCTACAGCCGGGCGGCATGGTTGCTTGTCCTGGTGCACTGGGTGGTGCGGCTGTGGTGCCGCCAGCCACCTGTGCTCCAGGCAGCGCAGTAAGGGGGCAGGGAGCGGGGGGGGGTTGGAAAGATGGCAAGGGAGTTCAGGGTGTGGATGGGGGCGGGGTGGTCAGAGGGCGGGGAACGGGGGTTGAATGGAGGCAGCATTCAGGAAGGGGGGGTTAGATGCGGGGGCAGTCAGGAGCAGGAATTCTGGGGGCAGTCAGGGGACAGGGAGAAGGGGTGGTTGGATGGGGCTGGGGTCCCAGGGGGGCCGGCAGGGGTCCCAGGGGGGCTGTCAGGGGGTGAGAAGCAGGGGGGGTTGGATAGGGGGTGGGGGCCGGGCCACGCCTGGCTGTTTGGGAAGGCACAGCCTCCCCTAACCGGCCCTCCATACAATTTCAGAAACCCGATGTGGCCCTCAGGCCAGAAAGTTTGCCCACCCCTCTGTTAGACTGTGTGGTTCTTGTGCAATAAAATGCAGTTACAGTACACTAGCTTTCCCTGTAAGTTATCAGAACCTATCCATTACAAGAGTCTCACTTATTCAGTCCATTAGGCCAATTACACATCTTGACGGAGAACCCCTGAGCGTGACTTATGAGCATCCTTTTATAGATTATTATTTGCCACTGTCGAGGTTTCCAGATACCCCGTAAGTAGAGAATGTGATGAGTGTTGTTGTGGTGAAGTACTCCAACAATAAGAAGCCTAATATACAAAATAGAAAAAATATTGACAAAAGTAATAAAATATTTAAACAAACATTAAACTAAGACAACTGAAATTTAAGCAACAATGTTTGAATTTATAAGAGTTTAGAACCTGGTTGTAACAAGAATAGTGATGTCACAACTAGTAACCTTTTGATTCATAAATACTTCTTAACCATATGTAAAATGTCTTATCTTAGTGGCTCTTCTGCATTAAGGACCAAAGAACACAGAATCAGTGTGGAATCTACAGTAATGCTCGTAGAATGATGAAAGCTTATATCATCTCACTAATTTTCTTTTTAGGAAAATCCGGAGAGACTACCCTTCCAAAATCCTTATTCAACTGTGTGCTGCATTACTTCTACTCAACCTAGTTTTCCTCCTTGATTCATGGATTGCTCTGTATAACATACGAGGCCTGTGCATCACAGTTGCTGTATTTCTTCATTATTTCCTCTTGGTTTCCTTCACTTGGATGGGCCTTGAAGCATTCCACATGTATCTTGCCCTTGTCAAAGTGTTTAATACCTATGTACGGAAATACATCCTTAAGTTTTGTATCGTTGGCTGGGGTACGTATATTTTTCTGGGTTTGGAATCTAAAATAAATATAGTTTCTTTACAACAATTTTGGATGGAAGACCATTTAGAAGTAACAACAAAGCAAGTATCAAATACCTGTTGCCTGTCAGAATCCTCAGATGCATTATCAATAACAGGGTTCTATTTACTTCACTATTCTATGACTTTAGCATGTTGCAGAATTCACCCCTTGTTGCAAAGTTTTTCAGATTGTAAGTTCTCTCGGGGCATACACTATATATTGTGGGTGCTATTGCAATTCAAATGAATAATAAATTGTTTATATTGGAATTACAGTTGCAGCTGTCTGAGAGCCAATTATACATTTGACTATTTCCATTTCCAACCCCCAAAGCAGATGGAATCTCTTCCATTGGGGAAATTAATGTTATTGCTCCAGAATATCAACTACATATTCTACCTCTAGACTGCTACTGTTTCTAACAAAAGGTAGCAAAACAGTGCCTCCGACTTAAGTGATGAGAAAATCCTAAGCCTGATTCTCTTCTCTTACCCATTATTGTAAATCAAGAGTAACTGCACTGAAAACAATGGAGTTAAACTAGTGTGAAACACGTGTGAGAGGCAAAATCAAGCCCATTGTATTTCATGTCCTTAAATCTGTGATATCAAAGAGCAGATGCAACACATGTTGCTAGTTTAACGTAGGTTGCAAGTAATATAAGTGTATCAAATCACAGAATATATAGTCTTGTTCAGAAAGATTAAAACTTCAAATGTGTGCGAGTTTATTTTGCTTTTTATAAAGTAAGTTATCCTGATATAGCAGTCTCCGACAGCCTTCATAACCTGGCCCTAGGTTTCATAGGAAAATATAGTTGTTTCGTCTCATCACAAAACTTTCATTCAGAATTATAACTATTATCTAATCTTTCAGGTGTACCACTTGTAGTGGTAGGCATTGTATTGGCTATAACACCAAATAACTATGGGCTTGGATCATATGGAAAGTTTCCTAATGGCTCACCAGATGAATTGTAAGTTAAAAGATAGGCATGTTTCAAAAGTGAATGCTAACAGAATGCTTTTATCTAATGGTGATGTGTGAGTGTGTATGTAAGCTTCTTTCCTGAAAGTGACACTTCTGTGAATAAATCTCTGCAGGATATATTAAGTCAAGTCTTCCTGAAACTGTTTGCAAGGCTCTGATCTTGGTCACAAAAGAGGGTATGCTCCAAAACACTGGCATGGAGCTAGAACATGAAAATAAGGTGAAGGCAAGACAAGAGAAAGAAAGGAGATGGGGGATGAAGAGTAGAGTGTAGAAGAAAGCAAGCCTAAATGTAAAAAACAAACAAAAAACACCATATTGCCTAAGGAAACAGGAAACCTAAACCTAATCCACTGGTGTATTTATTTATTTATTTATTTGCTTTAACCCTTGGGATTCACTCAGATAGGATGATGATAGACACTGTTATAAACACCTACATAGACAGATGAAAACTTGAATCAGTGTATGTGGCCTTGAGTATTGCAGGATGATATGTTTTCAACAAAATATAGCCATGCCTAATACTATTCTTTACTTAATATCTATTACTAATAATGAATGTCTGATAATATGATCTTTCCTCCTTTGTTTTTATATTCTAGCTGCTGGATCAACAATAACATTGTCTTCTATATTACTGTCGTGGGATACTTCTGCATGATATTCCTGTTGAACATTGGCATGTTTATAGTGGTGCTGATTCAGCTTTGTCGAATCAAAAAGAAGAAACAACTTGGAACTCAGAGAAAAACCAGTATTCAAGACCTCAGGAGTGTGGCAGGCCTCACATTCTTATTGGGAATTACTTGGGGATTTGCCTTTTTTGCATGGGGGCCAGTAAATCTGATATTTATGTACCTCTTTGCCATCTTTAACACATTACAAGGTAAGTTTATGCTTTGTTATGACCTTTTGTATAAAAATGTAATGAATAATTCAGTTCTAAGAAATGCTTTATTATGGACAAGACTTTACCAAAATTATATCTTTACTGTTACATAATATAAAAAATAAAACTACCTTGAAGATGATCCTTCTTAATAGTTGTATTACATTTAAAGAAAATTAATGCAAAGCAAATGCTTTCAGAAGTGACGTGCTGTCTTTTTGAGTGCATTGTAATGAAAATTGTCATCTTAAGGTCCATTCATAGAATCACAAAAGCTACAGGACAAAAGACCTATTGGGTCATTTAGGCTCTGACGTAATTTATTTGCTTTTGAAAATTTTTACCCTATGTTGCATTTTCAAATGAGTTAGGCATTTAGGACCTGATTTTTAAAAGTAATTTGGTGTTGTTCCACTCAGCACTGCAAGGTATAAGTGATTTAGATGGCTGAGTCCTATTTTCAAAAGTAACTTAGGCACTTAGAAGGCTGATTCCCATTGGCTTTCATTGTGACTTACGCTTCTCAGTGCCTAAGTCACTTCTGAAGATGGGACTTAGCTGTCTAAATCACTTAGGCCCAGGTCTGAAAATCCCACTGATTTCAATGGAATTTAGATGTCTAAATATCTTTGAGGATCTGGGCCTTAGGCCTTGCAACAATGAGCAGAGCAACATCTAAATATCATTAAAAATCTGAGCATTAGAGCCAAATTGAAGTGCCCAAAGATGCAGATTTTCAAAAGCATCTAGGTGCCTAACTCCTGTTGAACACAATGGGAGTTAGGTGTCTAACTTACCCTGAGAATTGGTCCAGAAAATGCTAATCTCTGTCTTCTCCAGTCCAAACTTGTAGCTTCTCCTTTATTTTTCATTCCCTGAAATCTAACTTAAAGAACTGCACAACCACTTTCTTCTTTGATACATTGTAGCTGGCAGGCAGTGTAAATATTTCTGACATGCTTTCTTTGAAAAGTGGAAGGTTTGGAAGCAAGTACAGTCCCACTCTGTATGGGAAGCAGTGAAAAGTGGTTGGATCTGCGATCTGGCACAGTTTGAGGTACCCCAACATGTGTGATTTGCCTCCTTCCAGGAAAAGATGTGGCTTTGAATTTGTGGTGAAGAGGGCTACAATTACTGTTATTTGAGCATGAGCTGTTAGCCCACGTGGGCTTTCACTATGACTTAATTGTGACTGCGGCGGGGGGGGAGGCGGCGGAAAAGCTGCCTGGTAACCTTGAATTTGCATTAGGTTTAATAAAATTTGCCCCAGTGGCCTCTCAACACGAACACTGGTCTGTAAGTATTATTGATTCCATCATAAGCAGCAGCAGCAATATATTAACTCCAAATAAAATATGGAGAAGTTCCACAAAGTATATAGAGAAAGCCAAATTCAGTTGATTATACCTCATATTTGAAATGATACTGCTATAATGAGGTTGTGTTGTTGTCTTGTCTTGATTTCTGTACTGAAGGTTCAAATAAACTTGCAGCTCCACACAGATCTTCATATTTTAAACTCAGTTACCTGATGTATTTGATTTTTTGGTACTCTGTATCCTCCTTATATCTAATACATATCATGCAAATGTAATGAGAAAAAGCATTTCAGGTAATGGCATCAGTCTATTGTTTAGACTATCAGTGTCTCTGCTGAACAAAAGAGTATGAGATCATTTGATTGGGATCAGTTGACTTGAGAAGAAACAAAAGAAAAATGATACATCCATTTAAAAAAGTTACAAAACAGCAAAAATTCTATGGCTTGAAGTAATATTCTGACATTTGGTACTTTGCAGGATTCTTCATTTTTATCTTCTACTGTGTGGCAAAGGAAAACGTCCGCAAACAGTGGAGACGATATCTGTGTTGTGGAAAATTCAGGCTGGCTGAAAATTCTGGTAAATATTAAACACTGTTTTCTACATTTGTAAATTATATCATTACTGTCAGGTGTAAAGTCCCCATTCTCCTTAGCAAATATTGTTATCAATAAATAGCATAGCAATATTTCCAGATATATCTACTACTTTGTTTTATTTTCCTGATGCATAAAGATTGCATTTTATTTAATTGCAAAATACTGCTGTATAAAGTATTAATTTTGATTGGGACTCTGCATATGTATAAGGCTGTAGCCTTGTGGAGTCCTTTGTATGACTGGGACCTAAATCAATCCCCAAAGATCTGCTTCCTCAAAGTCAATGGTAGCCTTAGCAATGACTTCAGTGGGAGCAGGGTCAGAAGCAGCTTTGAGAATAATGTGTTTTCCTAACAATTTTTTGGGGGTCTTTCATTGTAACATAATTGTATTTGAAAAGTTATACATACCCTTACACAATCTAAACTCAAAGGTGAAGTACTGCGGTTGCAGTTACTGGTAATCTCTAAATGGGCATACAGTCACAAAAGTATGATTAGTGACTTTTTAAAACTAAGAAATTAAAAAGAGAAAATGTAAATTCTTACACATCTAGAATTATGCAATTCCTATGAGAATAGTTTTCTATCTGAAATACTGGGAAAAGATCTTTGCTAGAATTTAAGTTAAATTGCATTATTAACTGTACTCTTGCATTTATTTGTGCTTGAATGTACTGCACTATTTTCTATAACACTTATTCTACTATAGATTGGAGTAGAACTGCTACTAATGGTTTAAAGAAGCAGACTGTAAACCAAGGAGTATCCAGTTCTTCCAATTCCTTACAATCAAACAGTAACTCTACTAATTCCACCACACTGCTAATGAATAATGATTATTCAGTACACGCAAATGGGAATGGTATGTATGTCGCAAAAAGAGTACTTCTCAAACTATATCCTTTTGTTATTTTAAAACAGTTTTAGGCTCTATTATGGCAATTTAAAGTGGGCAGTGAACCAATTATTATTTATGAATACAGAATCAAAAGGTTTTAGTGTGGTCTTATAAATAATAATACTAAAATTATCCAATTGAGGGTAATATAGTAGTACATTTTAAAAAAAATACTCACTTCTCATACTTAACGTGAACTGGTGATTATATGCAAAATTGTAAATGGTATACATTACTCAAATACCCAGCAGAAGTGCTATTTATATCCTGCTTGTCAGTTGAAGACAGAACTAGCAGTGGAAAACTTTAAGAACGTTTTAAAATAGCTATCAACTCTTAAAGAAAACACAGTCTACTGATGAAAGAAATGTGATGACATCCAATAAAATAATTTTTAAAAACATGAAAGCTATCATTTGGGAGTGCTATTAGGGTGTGAGGGCTTGATCTGCAGAACCCCTGCTATCATTACCAGGACATCCACATGTAACCCCCTTATGAGGCTGGGGAAGCACAGTAAGAAAGGGAGAATGGGACAACAGAGGCCATGAAATCTTCTCACTTAAGTGGTCACAGCCAGAGAGCTACATAGCTGTTGGCTACTGGGTAAGTAACGGAGCTCAGTTACAGTATTTTTTCTGTGACTTCCATGGCCAATCTTCCCTAATGGAAATGTATTTATGTGTTGCAGGAAATGGTGCTTAAGGACAAAATGCTTCATGACTTCATAGAATCATAGAATATCAGGGTTGGAAGGGACCTTAGAAGGTCATCTAGTCCAACCCCCTGCTCAAAGCAGGACCAATCCCCAACTAAATCATCCCAGCCAGGGCTTTGTCAAGTCTGACCTTAAAAACCTCTAGGAAGGAGATTCCACCACCTCCCTAGGTCACCCATTCCAGTCCTTCACCACCCTCCTAGTGACATTTTTTCCCCTAATATCCAGCCTAAACCTCCCCCATTACAAATGTGCATGCTTCCACTTAGGACAAACATAATGCTCCCTATTAAGTTGTTATTCTCTGTAGGCAATGTGAACATACTCATTCCCTATCCATCTCTCCCCTTTCCTGGCTCATGGAAATGCAGGTGTTCAAATGTCACGTCACTCCATTTCAGATGCAAATTGGAATGGCTAGTGAGGAAATTAGATATGCACATAATTTGAATGCACCCACAAAAAATGAACCTCTTGTGGCTGAAAATAATCTAAGTTTTGCATCTTTATCTAATGGCAGCACACAACAGAGAGCATGACTTATGCCAGGGGTGGCCAAACCGTGGCTTGTGAGCTGCATGTGGCTCTTTTACAGCTGAAGTGTGGCTGGCAGACCCCCCCACATTTCTCCCCATTCTCCGCCTACCAGACTGGGGGAGGCGGGAGCCTGGGGCTTCAGCCCTGCAGCAGGGTGTTGGGGCTAAGGATTCGTGCCCTGCAGGGAGGGGTCTCAGGGCATCAGTCCTGTGCAGGCACGCTGCAGGGCTGAAGCTCTGAGCCCCATGGGGCTGGAGCCTTGAACCCCAGCAGGTACCTCCCATGGGGCTGAAGCTCCAAGCCCTGGCAGGTGCACCCCGGCTCTCCAACTGCTGAAGATTGTCTTATATGGCTCAGATGGTCAGTAAGTTTGGTCACCCCGACTTATGCTTTGGCCATGCTGGTTGTGCGCTCTGATGGTGCAGCACTTCCTCTTTCCGTGTTGAAAATAAAAGAGTAATGACTCAGGCTATCCCACATTGTGGAGCACATAGGTCATCATATGTTATAAGACATAAAAACTGTACTCCTGGATGCCCAAAGGCCAGTGTTTCTTTCCCTCAGTCAAGGGCTGAGTCTCAGCACTATTGTTATTGCTCAAATTGTTTTATGTGCAGTTGATGAACTTCACAGACTGGCTACTTTGTTTGTATTGTTGCTACTGGGATGTTTAAAATAATGGCTGAAGTTGTCCTTTAAATGTTATTTTTTAAGTACATCTGAAGCAGGAAGCCTGCTAAACAGCCAGTGATGCCACTGAATGATTGAGATGCTAAAGGAGCACTCAGGGAAGGCAAGGCCATTGTGGAGAAACTAAATGAACTCTTTGCATCAGCCTTCACTGAAGAGGATGAGGGAGATTCCCATACCTGAGCTATTCTTTTTAGGTGACAAATCTGAGGAACTGTCCCAGATCAAGATGTCATTAGAGGAGGTTTTGGAACAAGCTGATCAATGAAACATTAATATGTCACCTGGACCAGATGGTATTCACCCAAACATTTTGAAGGAACTCAGATATGAAATTGCAGAACTAAAAACTGCAGATTGTAACCTAACATTTAAATCAACTTCTGTACCAGATGACTGGAGGATAACTAATGTGACACCAATTTTTTAATAAGGCTCCAGAGGTGATCCTGGCAATTTCAGGCCAGTAAGCCTAACTTCAGTACCAGGCAAACTGGTTGAAACTATAGTAAAGAACAAAATTGTCAGACTCATAGATTAACATGATTTGTTGGGGAAGAGTCAACATGGTTTTTGTAAAGGGAAATCATGTCTCACCAATCTACTAGAATTCTTTGAGGGGGTCAACAAGCATGTGGACAAGGGGAATCCAGTGGCTGTCGTGTACTTAGACTTTCAGAAAGCCTTTGACAAGGTCCCTCACTAAAGGTACTTAAGCAAAGTAAGCTGTCATGGGATAACTGGGAAGGTCTTCTCATGGATGTGTAACTGGTTAAAAGACAGGAAACAAAGGCTAGGAATAAATGGTCAGTTTTCAAAATGGAGAAAGGTAAATGGTGTCCCCCAGGGGTCTGTACTGGGACCAGTACTGTTCAATATATTCATAAATTATCTGGAAAAGGGGGTAAACAGCAAGGTGGCAAAATTTGCACATGATACAAAATTACTTAAAATAGTTAAGTCCAAAGTCAACTGCAAAGAGTTACAAAGGAATGTCACAAAACTGGGTGACCGGGCAACAAAATGACAGATGAAATCAAACGTTGATAAATGCTAAGTAATGCACATTTGAAAACATAATCCCACTATACATATAAAATTATGGGCTCTAAATTAGTTGCTACCACTCAAGAAAGAAAGATCTTGGAGTTATTGTGGATAGTTCTCTGAAAACATCTGCTCAATGTGCAGCAGCAGTCAAAAAAGTGAACAGAATGTTAGGAACCACTAGGAAAGATATAGATAAGGCAAAAAATATCATAATGCCTCTATATAAATCCATGGCATGCCCACATCTTGAATACTGTGTGCATATCTGGATGCCCCATCTCAAAAAAGATATACTGGAATTGGAAAAGGTTCAGAAAAGGGCAACAAAAATGATTAAGGGTATGAGGAGAGATTAAAAAGGACTGGGACTTTTCAGCTTGGAAAAGAGATGATTAAGGGAAGATATGATACAGGTCTATAAAATCTTGACTGGTGTGGAGAAAGTGAACAAGGAATTGTTACTCACTCCTTCACATAACACAAGAATTAGGGGTCACCTAATGAGATTAATAGGCAGCAGGTTTAAAACAAACAAAAGAAAGTACTGCTTCACACAATGCACAGTCAACCTGTGGAACTCTTTGCCAGAGGATGTTGAGAAGGCCAAAACTATAATAGGGTTAAAAAAGAACTAGATAAATTCATGGTGGATCAGTCCATCAATGACTATTAGCCAGGATGGACAGGGATACAACACCATACTGAGTGCCTCTAGCCTCTGTTAGCCAGAAGCTGGGCATGGACGACAGGTGGTGGATCACTCAGTGATTGCCTGTTCTGTCAATTCCCTCTGAAGCACCAGGCATTGGCCAGTGTTGGAAGACAGCATACTGGGCTAGATGGACCATTGGTCTGACCCAGTATGGCCCTTCTTGAGTTCTTATTTTATGTTCTTATGTTCTCATATCCTGAGACCTTATATTAGAAAAATAAGTAAACATCTCTCATATATAACAATGCTTTTGGATAATAATGTTAGATAGAGTAAAATCTATAGCTTGAATTCAAATGTCTACCATTTTCACATAATATTGTCCATATATGTAGGTGAACTACATGTTGTGAAGAAATCATGAGACTTCAGGAGATCAAATCTTAATGACATTTTGCCATGTTCTCATTAGCTTTCCAAATTAAATGAGTTTGTGAAATAGTTCCTTTTGCCCCATCCCTCTCTAAAACCTTCCTCCACTGTTTGATACTAGCAGGATTAATGCTCTTGGTACCTGACAATTCAGTTCACAGGTAAAAAACAAAACAGTAATTCTCACTGCCATTAAAACAATGTGGGTGAGGTAACATCTTTCATTGGACCAACTTCTGTTGGTGAGAGAGACAAGCTTTCAAGCCACGTATAGCTCTTCTTCGGGTGTACCTTCCCCAGACCTGAAAAAGAGCTCTGTGTGGCTCGAAAGCTTGTCTCCCTCACCAACAGAAGTTGGTCCAATAAAAGATATTACCGCACCCATCTTGTCTCTGTAATATCCTGGAACTGACACAGCTACAACTACATTAAATAGAAAGACTTACAATGCTCACCTAAGCCTTTGCTGTAATTGTGCATTGTGGCAACTAAGCACAGCTTTCCAGAGCAGAGGATTTTGGGTCCTCTGGTATTTTGGAATTATAGACAAACTCCAATGGTTTTAATAGGTGAGCAATTCCATTGATTTGAGGTCATCTCCCTGTCCTGTCCAATGCTAGCCTCTCAGATGACACTGAGTCCATGGTCTGCTTCTGCAATGAGGTTCTGTCCAGGCTGAGGATCTCAGCATATGTCCTGAGTTGGTACATCATCTTCCTGCTGATGCACCATTGCAGATGGAGGTGATGGACCATCACTTCCTAACCCACTTGGAAACTTGAAATGCTTTTATGATAGACACTGCCACATATGTATGGAGGTAAGCCACTTATTTTTACTTAATTTTTAATTGAATGTTTTGAATGCTGTGAGCCTGCCCCTGCAGCCTCCACTCATACCAAAAAAGAGTTTTGTTGAGTGGGTTGGATGAAGCTTTAGAACCTGTATTACAGAGGTTCTCAAACTGGGGGTTGTGACCCCTCAGGGGGTCACAAAGTTATTACACGGGGGAATTGCAAGCTGTCAGCCTCCACCCCAAACCCTCGCTTTGCCTCCAGCATTTATAATAGTGTTAAATATATTTAAAAGTGTTTTTAATTTATAAGGGGGGGTTGCACTCAGGGGTTTGCTATGTGAAAGGGGTCACCAGTACAAAAGTTTGAGAACCACTGCTGTATTACATATGCCCTGATGGTTTCCTTCCTTTTTCTTTCCTCTTAGGATTTGGGGGAGGAGGGTCATCTGGAGACAGTGGGTCCTCCTGGCAAGCCCTTTGATGAACCAGTTCCTTCCACTCATCTGCCACTTATCTGGCAGTTGTACCTGAGGAGAGATAAATATGCTGATGGAAGGACTGGAGTATGCTGATGGTGGATAGAGTGACCCAAGATGGTAAGTTTGGAATTTTAGATGTATACAGGCTGTGGCTTTGCTTAGTTAGTGGATCTCTAATTTACAATTTTATACTGTCACTTCACACTAATGTCTCTCTCTTCTTCTGCCTTTCTCTTGCAGATTTGCAGAGTTTGTGAGACTAGGTGGCTCCCAGATGAACCTGTAAATCCCATCACTCAGCTTTGTTTTTCAGTCTTTCTCTGCCTCTGCCTGTTTTTGAAGCCTTTATTTTATTACAAGACATGAAGAGGAATAAAACTCCCATTTATCTTATCTGTTTATTTGTATAAGTGTTTCAGTGATTGACAGTTTTGTGCATTAAACTGTGTATGTTTGGGTTTTGTGTCCTGTGTATTTTTCCAGCTTTCTTTAGCAGATCCAACACCAGCCCAGCAGATTTGCAGGGACTTGAGAATTACTATTGGATAGTTTGCTGTCTTCAGTTTCTAAAATGATGAGAAAAAAACCTTACAAATCTAGTCCTAATCAGAGCCAGATCAAGGCATAGGTATTATAGGTCTGAACCAATAGAGCCCTTGCTCCTGGAGATATGTGCTTTACCATCAAAATATGACACAAGTGAAAATGATACACTGACATCTGCTTGAGTCTGTAGGGAGCCTGGAACAATAGCTCTGAGAGACATACTCCACATAAAACCTCCCCCAACAGAAGACCATGTGGTAGGAGGAGAAGAGAACAGCAGTTCAAGCCCAGCCACTCAAACAAGAAAAACCCTGTCTGCTGGGTTAAATACTGAGCCCCCAATGCTGGCACTCCTGGTAACTAGAATACAACCCTATTGTGCTGCCCCTGCCTCTTTGGGGCAGAGCAATGGGGGAATTCTGTGTTCTGTTGTGCCTCTGCCTATGGATGGTCTTAATCTAGCTCTGGTCTTGGCTGGATCAAACCACAGTCCCTCACATGAAAGCACATCTTGTGGCCACTGAACCAGTCTCTGATGTCTTCTTAAATAAACAGAACTGTGAATTTTTTTCCTTTGTTAGTCAGAAGGATATTTTCATGCACTGGATTTATGACCTCAGATTAAGATATTCGTAAGTGTTATTTAAAAAAAAAAAGTTTTGCCAATACTCATACTAATAGTAATGTTTTTTTATCTTTAATGAATACAGTTCCCCCCATAAATAACAGCACTGAACTTCTGCTTGTGAGCCTATTCCTGAATATTTGCTTAACACAAAACACTCTGTCTCAAAGGAAATGTTTGTTCATTTTTTGTTTCCCTTAACATCATATTTTTCATCACAATCAACCCACATCCTTTTTTTGTTCTGTTTTCATATTTTGTCATCTCCTCTGGCTCACTAACAATGTATGGAGGAAACTTGTTTTAAAATGCATTCGTCATTTTCTTTTGACTTAATATTAATTAAATCAATTATAGTAACTGGCGAAATACCCTGGAACTTTGAAAATCATTTGAATACAACACATAATACAGTCCTTAAAAGGATTTAGCAATCTTAGCAATCATATGTATGCTATGTCTGACTTCTGACAGCCCTTTCAAGTTGGCCTACTTTACAAGAAAGGACTGCAGAAACTCTACTTTGAAGTGTTTACAGAGTTGGATTTTGTTATCAGAAAAACAAAATAAATGCAAAAGAAAGAGTAAGAGTTAAAATACAACTGAAGTATCCAGCATGCAATGTATAGAGATAAGAGATCCATACCCAAGGATTTAGGACTCTTAGAATTTCAGGAATTCTGGAACCCTTTAAGTTTTCTCGAAGCTCCACTGAGCTGATAAGTCACAGTGAGTGCAAGTATACTTGTTCATAGCTGTGGTGGCACCAGAAACACTCCAACTTTCTATCCATATGTGGGTTTGGATGCATACTGTGCAAGGCCTGTATTTCAGATGCTTCAAAGAAAGCAAATTCCACAAACAAGACATGTTTAAAAGAGGTAAAACTCAGTGCTCAAGCTGTCTTGCAAAGCAGGTAAACTCTTAAAAAAACATTAAATTAAAAATTAAAGTTTTCATTCAAAATTGTTTTAATTATTGTTTTCTGGGTTCCATGTTCCTAGTAATTAATCTCAATTGATGTATTCTGATTATTTGAATTTTCTTGTTATACTGTATTTTATGTACTGCTACATTGCACTTACCTAATTTAGCACATATATTTTTCATTTTGGTCTAAGTCAGTTGGTTCCCTTTTGTTTTGTTTGTGCTTTGGAATTAGACACTATCAATATATAAATTATATCACATTGTTTGACTAATATGGGGACAAGATATCAGTGGGAGATAATTGTCTGAGTAAGGTGAGAAGGATTTGGCCCTCTCTGTAATGATCTATACAGTTTAGGTCAAATTCTGTCCTCAGGCCACATGTGAAAATTATTATATAACAAATTAATTACAGAAAAATCCTTACTTAAAACTCATTCCAGGGAGCAAAGAAGAATGAAATATGAATGTTCTCAGTATACTCACTGAAATTTTTAAGAAATATGCATGTCTTTGGTGACTTTTCACTATGAATCATTTCTGACTTGCGCCATGCTTTTATTTTTGCAGGTAATGTCTCCAGTGAGAAGAACGGTGTTTCTTTCAACATACAGAATGGCGATGTGTGTCTTCATGACTTTTCAGGAAAGCAGCTCGTATTTCATGAGAAGGATGACGCAGACCACAAAAAAACCCGTGTCTCACTCAGAAGGACTTCAAAGAGGGGAAGCCTACATTTTATTAAGCAAATGTGATTTTTTTCAAAGCACATTGTTTTACAGTGTAAAACACAGATTTTTACTTTAACTATTTTACATAATGTGAGAAGACCTGAAACTTATCCTTGTTTTATAGATGGTACTGGAGCCTTGAGGCAGTCATGTACTGGGTTGAAAATGAGAGTTATAATTGTTTAAAAAGTCATTGCTACTATTTGACAAGGTACTACATCACAATTGGCACAATTTCCAATTTGATTTCCCATTCTCCCCTCCCCTCCCCCCAAGGTTTAAAGGAAGGTTTGCTTTTAGACTCTTATTTTCTCAGTATAACTACAATTTGTATATCTGAATACAATACATAGTATTGTAAATGTAGGTAACTACAAGTTACACTTAAACAAGATTCTAAATTATCTTTCAAAATGTTAGTTAGTTTCAAATTGTCTACTACAACATTTTTAAGATTATAGTTGCAGATTTTATAACATTGTAAATAAGCAAAACAATATCCACCTTTAAGCATTTTTATGCTATTTTTTATATTTATTTCTTGTAATATAAATTTAAAAATATTCCTTTGTATAGAAAAATAATTGATATTTTGTTTTAACTTTATTGTTAGAATGTAGCTAAAGTTGATTATTTCAATTAACTTCTGAAGCATTCTATATTTATAGGTAATTTGTTCAGTATGTGAAATAATTTACAGTGGTTACAGTGTGAAGATGTTCACAAGACAGAGAACTGTAAATATGAACACTGTCACTATAGAACCACTGACTGGGACCCAGGAATACAGTGCATGGGTGTCTTATCAAGGGATAAAACTCCACAGGAGGGAGTGATGGATAAAGTAGGCAATAGGCTATTAGCTATATTCTTGGAGTGAAATCCTGGCCCCACTGAAGTCAATGGGAGTTTTGCCATTGATTTCAGTGGGGACATGATTTCACTCCTAGTGGTCGTAACAGAAATAAATATGCGGCCAGTTTGCAACTGCAATATTTAAAAAAAAATAATTATCATTAAAAAAACAGTAGTTATTATTTAGTAGCCAAGCCAAGTGTTTGTTTCATTATTAAATTGTATAAAAGATCAGTTTCTCTCACATCCAGGTTTCTATTTGTTTTTGGTCTCTGCTGACAGTCAAATCCTGAGGTCCTTACTCAGTGTTTACTTGTTACCTACTCAACTAAAACTTCTAATGATCTGTAGTGAGCGTTTATGAGGAGAGACTAAAAAGACTGGGACTTTTCAGCTTGGAAAAGAGATGACTAAGCGGGGATATGATAGGTCTATACAATTGTAAATGGTGTGGAGAAAGTGAATAAGGAAGTGTTATTTACTCCTTCACATAACATGAGAACCATGGGTCACCCAATGAAATTGATAGGCAACAGGTTTAAAACAAACAACAGGACACAACACAGAGTCGACCTGTGGAACTCATTGCCATGGGATGTTGTGAAGATCAGAACTATAATGTGGTTCAAAAAAGAATTAGATAAGTTCATTGAGGACAGGTCCATCAATGGCTATTAGCCGAGATGGTCAGGGACACAACCCCATGCTGTGGGTATTCGTAAACCTCTAACTGACAGAAGCTGTGACTGGATGATGGGATGGATCACTTGATAAAGTACCCTGTTGTGTTCATTTCCTCTGAAGCATCTGGACCTGGCCATTGTCAGAAGACAGGATGCTGGGCAAGATGGACCACTGGTTTGACCCAGTATGGCCATTCTTATATTTGCCTGAATAAGGACAGCAGGATTAGACGCTATATGCATAATATCTCATAATAGATAGAGAATGCCGCCTTCCTCCTTATGTTCTTGCACAAGGTCTGAGTGTAGCTGGAGTCCTTGGGTCCAGGAGTGCAAAGACTGCTACCAGCTAGTACCCACAGTAGTACCAGCCCCTCTGAAGGAGATTACTAGGGGGCTGGGTTATGCTGGCCCCCTACAAAGAAGGAACAAATGCTGTACTTCCTCCGAGGTTGGTGCACTTGCAGCATTCCCTGGGGAACCCTGGAAACACTGTTCGAGAGTGGTGAGCATTGGTATTGCCTCCTACTTTGGACTCTGTTGCAATGCAACAATTTGAACTCTTAACATTCTCACAAATGTCAAATCCTTCTGTATTGATACAATACATGGGTTCTGTTTGTCACCTACTTCTGAAACTGCCCTGAGCACATTTGTATATAGTGACAATTTAAAACATTTGTTCTATTTACCCACAAGAGTTGTAACTGTTGTTGTGAGAGTTGTGAACCAGATATAAGAATGATCATGGTACCACAATACAAACACTAATAATCTAGGCATGCATTTCAGTTAATGCTTTAGCTATTTGGCTTAGGGGCCTTTGCACTGTTTCTTATAAATACAAGAAAACTACATAATTTTATATTTTCAAATGTAAAAAATAAATAAATTTGTAGTAAGTAATGGGCATGAGCTATGGAATTTATTTCATTTAGATAATATGCAAGTATAAATTATCTATTTACATTTCTCAGAATAATATGATCCAGGCTACCTGTCCTATAGGAGGAAATTCTATCAGGCCCCCTATATTTGTTTAGGTTCCACCTTTTATGGTTTTAGCAGCCCTACTCTTCATAGAGGAGGTTTGAACATGAACCCACCCAGAGCTGGTGAGTGCCACCCTATGAGTCTGTTGGAGGCAAGAACATGGTGTGAGAAGTGCCAAACGGCTATGTTTCTGTCCAGTATTCTGATTCCCTGCAAAAAAGCATGTTACACCACCATTAAACTGCTTGGATTCTTAACTTGGTTTTATTTTTGCATCCAGTGTGTCCTCCTTGCATTTTTCATTCTTTTCATTTGATTTCTTGCTCGTAAGAGTTATCACCTACATACCCCCTCTCTATTAAAATAATTAAACATCTCTCATATATAATAATGCTTTTGGATAATAATGTTAGATAGAGTAAAATCTATAGCTTGGATTCAAATATCTACCATTTTCACATAATATTGTCCAATATACCGTATCACTTTAGCTCAGTGAACAACCTCCCCCTATTACTCCACTTGAGAAAAATGCCTGTACAACCACGTTTGTAAGAACTCATTTGGTAGTGGGTAAAGAGATGTTCTGTTTAAATTTTCATCTGAAATGTCTCATACTGCCTCACAGAAAGCGTGTTAGATGCCAGTACATTGCTTAAACATTTTAGGGATGTATTAATCAAAGTTTTAAGTAATACAAATTACTAATCATTTGCACTTATACAACCACTTCAGATGTGTGCCTGTCCAAGAACATGCTGGACTCTCCAGTTCTCCCAACAATAGCATTGCTACTTAAATGGCATCTTCTGCTAATCAGAATTTCTTCTAAACAGGGATGAAAGGCCGTCCACCAGGGCTTCTTGGCTGGGAGTCTACTGAATTGGCAGAGAGAAACACTTTCCTTGGACTGTTTGTTATGTCTACACAAAGTCCAAAGAAAAAATTGCTTGCTATTGAAGTCAAGATGATTAGAAAACATGTTACAATGCCCAGTAAGACACTGCTTGTTGTATTGCCAATGCCTGTGTCTTATAGAAGTGGGCAAGTGGCTGGGGGGCGGGAGGGAAGAGAGAGGGGAAGAGTTAGAAATGCCTGCTTCTGCTGCCAGTCTGCTAAGTAGGGGAGAGGTAGCTATGTAGGTGAAAGCATCCCAACTGAAGACAGACAGCTGGTGAGTTGCAGCAAGCAGGAAAAGAGGGAGGGGAAGAGAAAGAAAACCTAGAACTCTTTTAGTCTCTGCTACTATCTTGGTAGGTAGCTGTTGCCAAAATACTATTTATACTGTTTAGGGTTTGCATGACCTATTACTGACAAATACCGTGATGGCCTTATTAGGGTTTGGGAATTCAATCCAGACCAGTGAGGGATTGTGTCACCATCTTCCCTGTAACTTGGGTGCCTCACAATTCTTTGCTATTGTAGCTCCCAAGCTGGGCCGCTCACAACACTACCAGCATGCAGGTTACACCCAAAACGTCTGTGTGCTAAACAGCCCTGATTCAGCAGTTCTGACCCCAGCAGCCTGTCTACAGCCATAGCCCCACACTGGCTTCAACCAGCTTTGGTTACTACTTGCAGGGTGACCCCAACACACACCCTGTATTTTCCCAAAATCATGTGCCCTGAAGTGTCTGGCACTGTCCTGGACAGTTCAGAGAAATAATATGGTTCATTTGTTCCTTTAAAGACACAAAAACATGACACAACGTATTAACTTAACTGGGGTGAGTACACCCTTCCCTTAAAACACCTCACTGAGTTGGTTTATAGTAAAATAAAACAAATTTATTAACAATAGGGCATAGGTTAAGTAATGCTGAGTAAGAAGGAATAAAGTTAGGGAAAAAGTCAAAAAAGCAAACAGGATGTTAGGAATTATTAAAAAGAGAATGAAACGGAGAATATCTTATTGCCCTTATATAAATCCATGGTACGCCCACATCTTGAATACTGCGTACAGATGTGGTCTCCTCATCTCAAAAAGGATATACTGGCGTTAGAAAAGGTTCAGAGGAGGGCAACTAAAATGATTAGGGGTTTGGAATGGGTCCCATATGAGGAGAGATTAAAGAGGCTAGGACTTTTCAGCTTGGAAAAGAGGAGACTAAGGGGGGATATGATAGAGGTATATAAAATCATGAGTGGTGTGGAGAAAGTGAATAAGGAAAAGTTATTTACTTGTTCCCATAATATAAGAACTAGGGGCCACCAAATGAAATTAATGGGCAGCAGGTTTAAAACAAATAAAAGGAAGTTCTTCATACAGCGCACAGTCAACTTGTGGAACTCCTTGCCTGAGGAGTTTGTGAAGGCTAGGACTATAACAGCATTTAAAAGAGAACTGGACAAATTCATGGAGGTTGAGTCCATTAATGGCTATTAGCCAGGATGGGTAAGGAATGGTGTTCCTAGCGTCTGTTTGTCAGAGGGTGGTGATGGACAGTAGGAGAGAGATCACTTGACCATTACCTGTTAGGTTCACTCCCTCTGGGGCACCTGGCATTGGCCACTGTCAGTAGACAGGATACTGGGGCTGGATGCATCTTTGGTCTGACCCAGTACGGCTGTTCCTATGTTCTTAAAAGGTTACAAACAAATAAAAGTGAAAATCGTCTAAAAGTCTAAAACTTAACTTAGCAAGACACAGGCTTTGTGATGGTTTCTCTCACCTATCTGCCTTCTTCCCAGCTATGGCTGACTTTCCCTCCATCAGGACTTTCCACAGAAGTATAAGGTGCTTGCTTCCCTTGTCTTCTTAGGTGAAAGATCTTTATGTAAGCAAGTCTCTCACCAATATTCAGTTCTAGAGACTTCAGCCCCTCCTTGGTTGAAGGACCCGTCTTCCTCAGCTTGCAAAAGCACTGTTCTTCTTCAAGGAATGTCCCTGTGGGTGCTCCACTTCAGGTGAATGTGTGTCCTGGCGCCTTTAGTCAGAGAATCTCAGCAACAAAAGCTCATCTGAGTTGCGCATTCACTCTCCCCATCTCGCACCGTTATCGGTGCCTATCTAGCGCAGCGTGACTAGACCCCCCCCATTTCCTTCTCAACTGCCCTTGGGCTGAGACGAAGCTCCCAGCAGTGTTAAAATCAATAGTTATCTTTAGGATTAGAACAGTCTTTTAGTTTGCTAGTTAGATTTAGTTATCCCTTTCTCCCTATTTCTTTCATTCAAAAAAATTTTTTCCTTCCTTTTCCCTCCAAGTTTGAATACCCCTTAGAATAGTTTGTGTTCACCCTTAGGGCTGAACTGGTACAGTTTGATGGACTTCAAGCAAATCCTTTCCTGCCAGGAGGCGATCCTGGTCTCAGACAGACACTCGCAGTACATCCAGTGTCTAGGTGAGGCACATGTCCCACAAAAGTGCTCTCACTGAAGCAACTAAAAGTCTCAGGCCAGAGGCCTAGGTCTTAAACTTATCCAGATGGAGAAGTCTCTGTGATCAGCATTCGATCCCAGACAGTAGACACCCCCGACAACAGTCTCCTACGACCCCTTCTGAAAGACAACTTTCACCCTCCTCACAGAGGAAGGCTTACTCCTCCAAAAAGGCAGCAAGGAAAAGAGCATCAGCCTTATTTATCTCAGCGACGCCATAATCACCACTCTTCGGTACTGACATATCTCTGGTATGCACGGTACCATGTCAACCCACCTCACTTCTGGCCCCTTCATTTTCCAGCAAGGAAGAAGACAATGAGGAGAAGGGTGCTTTTTCATCACACCATTCGTCTCCCATCCATACTTCAGCATTAGGCCTACCTGTACAGACTAAATCTCACCATAGGGTTGACAC